GCGTGGTCAAATCGTTACTTTTAGTTTTATCTAGAAAAGAGATAATTATGATTTTGCTAGTTTTTATCATTATTGCTGTTTCCTGTGGCTGTAATGCTATACGTTTTAATTTTATTACGATGTTAAGTTAAAAAAATTAAACTATACATTTGGAGAATTTAATTGAGATTATCAAGAATACCTTAACTTGGGCCTGTGCGGTGGTCTTCTCCTCATCATTCCTTATGAGTTCGTCGCTCAGGCGCTGGGTCTCTGCGTCCTTCTCCTGCCAGCGTTCCAGAAGAATCATGGCCAGGACTTCAGGGGAGGTATCAGCTGATACTCCGCTGATTGCACTGACTACTTGCAGCAAGGTATTGTAATACTGTAATGGTATCGTAAAAGTTGATGATTAAGTTAACAAAACTTTTTTTTTAAAGTGATCTGTGAAATTAAAAAATTGTCTGAAGGCAATGGCAATTGAATATCTTTTCGTCATAATATACTCAAAGGCAGACTTTTGTTTTCCTAGTCTGAGCATTAGATGAATATTCAACACTTCCAACTCATTTGCCATAATGTCTTTTAGATAGTCAAGTTAGTTCATTTATTTGCTTGTGTTTGTTCATTTCTCTCTCGCTCACATCCCTCTTTCTCTCTGACTATGATACTCTCTCCACTCTTCCTCATGCAACATCTGAAAAGACAGTATTCGGAAGCAACCTACCTTTTGCTTTTCCATGTGATCTTGAGTCTGAAACTCAGTATCTCCGGACTGGGTCGGGGCGTCAATCAATGACGCTTTCTCAGGAGTCTGAAATTCTTCATCTCCACGTGGAGTCGGGGGCTCAGCCTCGGTCTTCTGAGTGTGAGCCTCTGTTGAGACTGTATCAGACTGAGTCTGTTCTTCCAATTGCTCATAAGTAAGAGTTTCTGTGTTGAGTCCAGTTTCAGTTTGGAAGTCTCCACCTTGAGTAGGGGGCTCAGCCTTGAGCTGAATGGGGACCACAACTGAATCCATGTCAAACTGAGTCTGCTCGTCCACAGGCTCGCGAGTGAGAGTCTCTGTGTTGAGTATATTCTGAGTTTGCCAGTCTCCGTTTTGAGTAGGAGTATCAGCCTCGATCTTTTGAGCGAGATTAAGTGAAATCTCCATGGTAGATATTTTGGTACATCCACAAGCTCGAAAATGTGAGTCTCTGTGATTTAGGTTTGTTCCAAAGTCTGGGTATTTGAATCTCCTGCTCAGAGCAGGAATCTCGTTCAGTTATTCACTGGAATGATAACCGAAGTTCCCAACTTCTGAAATCAAAGATATATTATAATGATTACCGTGATTTGGTAAATTTTAAAGATAAATTATACTAAGGGTGTTTGAATGTCTAACATTAGCTTCGAGTGTTTAAAATTGTAAATGACTACAACGGATATACATTCTGCAGACTTTGATAGTGCAGGAATTCAACAGAAAATTCAATCAAATTAAACATAATAATTTTATGTCTGAAATTATCATGATTATCGTGTATACCTGAACAAAAAAGTAAAGTTTCCGACAAACAGACGCTAGTATTGTGATGAAATAGCTTTCTCAGACACTTGCAGGCGTGGAATTTGTGGAAATCCTCGTAAAATCTCCGAAATTTCAATGAGCTTGCTCCCAATCGAAGAGATAAGACAAGAATGAGCGTTTGTTGATGCGAAGCTAGCTTACTACATTATGCGCATGCGCGATCACCATGGAATAAACTTTCGACCAATCGCGCGCAAGGATACGCCAGTTAGATGAATATTCATATGTGTGTATCATGTGCGCAGAGCTCTTGACGTAACAATGGCCTACGCGCAATATGTTGGAGGTTTGGAGTTACGCAACAATCAATATTTATGTGTCATAATGTATTCAAGACAGGGGTCGCTATTTGTGTACCAAATTAATTTGTAAGAACCCACGGATATGAATACTGGATATGTGCTAATGAAAGTTTTCTAATAATCACGATTTTTCTTAAATTCACGCAGTAGCACCACTATATGTTTAAAAGCTCTGATACATAATATGGTCATGTTTACCAATGAGTTAGGAGGGCTGTATATTTAAACGTCTTTGGTCCTAACCCTTTGTTTTTACCAACAATTGACTGAAAATTGTAATTTCTATTGAATTAACAAATTGTGCTGTTCAAAGCACTTTAAAAGCGAAACTTCACGCGTGTGAAAATTTCACATTTTTGTTGTATGATGGGAGTGCTTTAGAGAAACAGCGTGTTTCATGCGACGAAAATTATTTCAGATTTTGTGCCAGTTCATGTTATTTTTCTTATATTTTAATATCTCTTTAATCTCCCCTTTTTTACCTGTTTTTGTTTTTGGTCTATGTTCATCCATCTTTCTATTCATATTTCTTTCCATTAACCACCCTTTACCCCCAATCTGTCTCTCTTTCATATTTTCAATGTCTGTCTGCTCCCTCTCTTCTATATTTCTCTCCTCTCCATCTGCCTTTCTATCCTCTCTTTCTTTCTCTAGCTTTCCCTTTCTCTCTCTCTCTCTCTCTCTCTCTCACACACACACATACCACACACACACACGCACACACCCTCACAACAATAATTAAGAAACAATGGGAAAACAGAAATAAATTAATTGGCCACCAGTATGTGTGTACGTGTGTGTGCGCGCGCGCGCGCGTGTGTATGTGGGGGTGGGGGGGGGGGGGGGTTCGGGGAGGATTCGCATATAATGATTGTGTCATAATATATTATATTATTATATCTGATATTATAAATGATTTCATAGCGGCCCTTATGAGTAGTGACCCCTAAAATAAATTATGAATAGCGCCCCTTCTTCCTGTTTATGTATAGCGACCCCGGTTTCGTATTATGAATAGCGTTCCTTAAGGTTTATGACCCTCAATGTGAATTATGAATTGACAACCCTAATCTTACATTATGAATAGCGGTCCTTATGAATAACGGTCTTTACGCCTTTATGAATAGCGACCCCTTTCCATTTTATGAATAGCGGTCCTTCACGTTTTGGAAGTTTCACGTTATGAATAGCGGTCCTTGACTAGCGAGATTACCCTTTTCCAGCAGGTACATATCTGTAGAAGTCTACACATTAAACAAAATGCATCATGAATTTGGCAGAACAAAAAACCGGTTTCTTAATCACAAATTGACGTTATTATATAAAATTACACTATGTTATGTTTAACCCAACAAATACAATAATTTATGCCTTTCGAAACGTTCTGCATAAAAGTCGAAAGCATGCACATGACAAACACCTGGATAGATAATGTCTCAACGTTTACTATAACTACATGTATGCCTACTATCTGACATTCAAGCGAAGCTTCGATATTCTTTGTTAAACTTTGTAATAAAGTATTGATGAGGGGGAATAAGCATATCCGTGTCTTTCTCTTAATGTTTTCTTGTCATAATAGTCTTTGCTGGGATGAACATAAAGATGGGTTTGATGACTAAATTTGAGGAATTTCTGTGCGATCTTTATAACTGATTCTGTTTTATCCCATTCAATCTTAATATTCTATCTGCTTGCTTCCTCAAAATCAAATAAACATTAAAACTTACATCAACAAATTTAAAATATCGAAATTTCTTATAAATTCATATATGCAAACCTGATCACAAGATATAAGTTTCAAATTTATTTTTCACTTTGTATTATACATATATATATATATATATACGAAGCCACTGCTGACGAAGTACAATACACAGTCATTTACAGAATATACAATTATGATATGGAAGAGGGGAATATAATAGACTAGCCCAGTAGCTCACGTCTCTACATTTTGTGTGATAGAGTGCTGAGAAATAATGACGGCACTGATTTTTACCCCGACATTTTTTTTTCACCTCTGACATTTTCACCCCTGACGAAGTACAAAACACAGTCATTTATAGAATATACATTATGATATGGAAGAAGGGAATATAATAGACTAACCCAGTAGCTCACGTCTCTACATTTTGTGTGATCAAGTGCTGATATAGTATGATTTTTACCCCGAAATTTTTTATAAACCTCCGCCATTTTACACCTAGCCCTTTTCTTTATCTTTTTTTTCCCGCATTCAAATAAGGGGTGCATACCGCTTTCCAGTAGCTACGCTATTAATTATTACCCAAATGGTATAGGGACAGACTGGCTGGACATATATAGAACCAGAGTGACTCAATTGGAGAGACAAAAGCGGTGAAGTGACAAACTGGCTGCCTTCCGCCAAACTACATCTTGCTCTTTGGGGGATTCCGATGGTAATATGATTCATGGACAACCATATCAGATGGGATGCAAGCAGGACTCGTACAACCTGTGAAGAAAATGAAATATATAATCATTATATATGAATCAATGTTCAATTGGCCACGACTTGCGGATCCAGGCCCGATAAACATATTAAAACATCCTTTCACAATTTCGTTCTGACCAACCGTATTACCCTTAAAATGTATGCGTGTGTAATGTACTACTTGAATGATCTAAAGTTCTATATAGAACTCATAAGTGTAAAGAACAAAGTGGTTTAAAGCCTATCAGAATGCATATTTCTCAGTTAAAGATGATTTACACAAAGCAGTGCTAACAAAAGCAAGACAAAAAGCAATGCAATAATGCGTTATGTGGACAAGGTAATGGTTTGTTTTTAAACGGTTGCAGCTGAAAGTGTTCAAAGTTGACTATTCATCTTGCACCGTTGCAGAAGCTAATTCACGGTTAAGTGGAAGTGGACCCGTCATTTACCCCAAAAGAAAAATTAAGTCTACCTAAAATGTGCTACCCTTTACCCCCTTCGCCAGTTTAGTGAGTCGGTGAGTTTCGACGGGCCGGCACGGCTCTTAAAAATATAATTCTGGACAAAAGAATTCATTTTGGAGGGGAAATGTTGGACTTATGTACCTTTCAAACGTTTGGACCCACTCTTTTCGCCCCTTTCCTCCGTTGCTCTTGTATCTAAAAGTTAACACTCTGATACATACCACTGATTGCTAAGGCATTGTCTAGTTCGCTTCTGAGAATTTCTAAAATACTGGAGACGCCTTTTGAACCCTGCAAAAAATCAAACAATACAAATTGAAAATAGATCAGTTCTCATATTTCATTATGTTATCTGCTTTTGAATAAATTATGCAATATGCTATCATTTACTACTGACTATAATATCAGTGGCGGATCCAGAGGGGGGCACAGGGATCACGTCCCCCCCCCCCCCCGGCCAAAACAAAAAGAAAAGGAGAAAAAGGAGGGGGAAAGAAAAAGGAGAGGAAAAAGATTTTTTAAAAAGGGAAGAGAGAAAGAAGATGAAAAGTGGGAGGGAAGAAAAGGGGAGAGGAGAAAAAGGAGGGGAAAGGGAAAGAGAGAGGAGAGAAAAGGCCGAAAAGAAGAAAGAAGGAAAGACGGAGGAGAGAAAAGGGGAAAAAGGAGAATAATGAGAAGGGAAAAGAAAGAAAGGGGGATGATATTATAGGATTTCCCGGCCAAATTCGCGAGTTTGTCATTCAAATTAATTTGTCTTGCGTTCAAATTCGACGGTTTTAGTGCAGTCAGGTATATCTCGGGTTTATATTCCCTTTTCTAGTTTTCAAATCTATTGAATTTTCGTTAGAATCTACGTATGCTTCTTTCGCTATTTGGTCATTCGATTTGGCGCAACACGATTTTCTGACAACGCGACGGTGTACTTCTAGCATTCTAATTCATTTGTAGCATTCAAATTAGCACTTTGTGCACTTAAATTGATGGTCAATATACATTTCTCATTTATTACACACTTTTTATAGCTCATCCTTTTCTTTCAAGATTGTTTTTTCATGTGTATTTCATCATATTTCATTTTCTCGCATTTATACACTTATACTTATTAGATTTATCTGATATTCATCAGCATTTCAGTTTGATTGTTAAGAAGGAAAAAAAAGACTTGCATCTACGGACATGATGGTTTCAGTATATTTGTAAATGTTCATGTAAGGAAGTTGTTTGTCTTATGTTTCAATATAAATTTATCATAATTTCATCATAATTTCATTATGGAAAAAGGGTACAATATTGTGACTGGGGTAGGGACTAGAGTCAACAATTTGAACATGATTCATTATTTAGCCATGTCTTTAGCCAACGATCTGCTGGCGGGCAAGTAAACTATGAAACTCTTTAAGAAAAACAGAGGGGTGTGCTGGGTATAAGAGACGATGTGAATTACTGTTGTAAAATTCGAGTCTGTAGTAAAAGGGGCGATTGAGGGTACGGTACCCCCATCTTTTGCCGGGTATATGAACATGTCCGTGCAGAAATGCCATATCCCTTGATTTCGCCCCTTCTTTACTTTATGTTTGACTACACCCATCTGCATTGTCCTGAAAATAAATAAATGGAATAACAGCTTAGACCTCAATGGCAAATCATGCATTTTAACTGCATTATTTAAAAACTGTAAAAGTTTGTTGCAATTCTTCCCCCTAACATTTCTAACTTGAATAAATATATTACGAATACAAATGACAGGTGTTAATTTGAATGATAAAAATTATGCTTCGACAAGTGAATGTTAATTTCGATGCTAGTTGAGCAGTTTCTAAATTGAATGACAGATCTATGAAACCCTTCGAACAAAATCCTAAATTAAATACAAAAACTGGAAAATTGAATGATAATTGGCATGACAAAGCCATTCTGCGCTAACTTAAATGCAAAGTAAGTGAATTCGAATGATAAACACGCGAATTTGGCCGGGAAATCCTATATAAGAAGGTGTTTTTTTTTACCGGGTAAGGGGCGGGGGGCATGCAATTTTAAGTAGAACATGACTAATACCAAAGATTTTATCTCCTTTATAACTTCCAACTTCTAACTTCTAACTTATAACTTAGTCTTGAATTAATTTTCCGATATACGTATTCTAAGTGCTCTTTTAGCATGCAGATTGTCCCCGCCATTAATCCTGCCACAGTTGCTGGTTTCATTGTCATATTATTTTCTGTCATCCCTGTGGCCGCGAAGTTTCTATCCGTTTCGCAAGCACTTTTTTTCCATCACCTACATGCAATGCTTATTGCTTCCAGTTTGCAAAAGATCCCAGTGGCGGATCTGTGGGGGATGGGGGAGGGGTTAAGGGGTTTAACCCCCCCCCCCCCACCTTGGGCTGCCAAGTGAAAATGTGATGTGAATAGAACAACGCCATCATGATTGTGTCCAGAGACTCCAGACCCACACAGTATCCGCATCGTCATCGGGTCAAACCCCCCTTAAACTGTTACTTGATTTAAAAAGACGTTATCGTGCACTGCTTTTTATGGTCTCCATTGTGTTAGTACACTGTCGCTCATAAAGGTGGAATAATTTTTTTTACCCCAATTTATGGAATTATTTTAAAAATAATTGAAAAATAATAGATCTAGATAATAGTATACATTCTCAGATTTTATTAAATACTAATTTGCCAATGTGTGTTTTGCGTGACTGCTGAAGCATGTGTATGCTACATTGCTTATCAACTATGGGACCTACGCTCTTAAGTCATTGATGACAGTAATAACGATTAATGCCCGACAAAAGGGCACTAATATAGCACATCGACACGGTTTTGATCCTGAGGCCTCACAGTTACGAGGCCATTGCTTTGTCACTGAACCATGAATGTACGCAGCGGGGGCTAGGGTAGGGGGCAGTTTTCATAAATATAAAAAAACACAGAAAATGCAATACTTTTTAAAATAATTTATTGCATTTTACCCCGGTTCCCAACATAAACAAATCTTCTGTGTGCCCGATCCAGATCCCATCATCCGCCACTGGATCCCTCTTCGTAATTTGAGGGGGTAGGGGAAAGCAATTTTACGTCATATTACTCCAGGAATTTGTGCCTGAAAATGCACCTAATGTGGTTCTAAAATTGCAAATGTTTCCTACTCAGGGAGGGGTTCTGACCCCCTTCCAGACCCACCCCCGCTTGGTCGTTCCACTCCCTCGCCGCTGACGACTCGCTCCATCGTTTTTCATATATTTCACCCCATGCGATTTTGTGCCCCCCCCCCCGGTACGAAATTCCTGGATCCGCCACTGAATATACAATTCATATTGGTTTGTTTGAAATTAATTTGGACATGATCATGAAAATCATAATAAACATTTGCTTAGTTTGAATTTGTTGGAATAACGCGTTTTGGGTGGTGTAATGGAATTTGTTTATCATAGCAAGAAATCAGTCTGTGCCGAAAGAGGTTAAATTATCAGAAGACTAAGTCCCATCTGACAGTGTTTGAAACATGCCCCCCCCCCCTATTGCCTGTTATACACAAACTCAAAACTGGGTCCGAAAAGGATTTTGGGTACCCTTTATTCAGAAGAAAAAGCAAAATAGGTACTCGAGATCGGTACTAGATAAAGGACTTCCTAAGGAACAAGAATTTCGCCCTGATTAGGGTGTTTTATTCTACACGTGGACAAATAAATACATTTATAGATCAATCAATAAGTAAAATCACCTTTGAGCTAAATATGAATTATATACCTGGCAAGCGAGTCCCCACAATATAGGTCTTCCTACAAACACAGCTCTTGCACCCCTCCCAAGAGCCTTGAAGACATCTGTTCCTGTCCTTATTCCTCCATCCATGTATACCTCTATCCCTCGACCACGGACTGCATCTACTACCTCGGCCAATGCATCGATCTGCAAATACGTTTGTTTTCAAAGGCGATGCGAAGCAAATTAACAAATCAGAGACTTAGACTGACAATTAGACTTTACAAGTGTCACTGAACATCTTCTTCAGAAACCATTGTTCCAAAAAATGGTCGCAAGGCACGAATTTATGCCAACCTCTATGAATTTGGGAGGAAGCCTAAACGTGAGTAATCTCGGAAAGTAGATCATAATTTGGAACATCGGTATACCATTCTGAAAGAGAAGAGTGTGGATTACAATTTGAATGGAAAGAGAGAATGAGAGTGACGATGAGACAGAGAGAGAGAGAGAGAGAGAGGAAGAGATGGAATTATCTAAACAAAGTTATTTGTCGAGGAGGAAAGGTGAATTGAAGTCGAGTTTCGAACGATGTAGGTATTTGTTGATTTGAGATTATATTGAGATACTGGCAATTCGAAATTTAGGATCAGTATATACCATAAAAACATCCCAACCCGCGGTCATGAATTGTTTACGAAATAAAACTCACTGGAGCAGGAGCAACATCTGATTGTCTTCCACCATGAGCTGACACCAGTATCCCATCAACCCCTGCGTCCGCTGCTTCCCTTGCCGAGTCAGCTATATAAATGTAAATATAAATAGCAATTGATTGACAACGATGAAAGAAATAATCTCACTTTCTTGCCAATACATATACTTCTCATAAGAAAAGGAGGAGTTTCAAACATTCTGCATATTTCGTTCTGAAAATGTCACCGCAATAATTGGGTTTTGTAAATAGATCCAACCTATCTGCTGATAGGAGCTATTCGTTTATCCCTATCAGATTCCAAAGTATATAGGATAGAAAAGAATACCACATTTGACAAAAATGTGCATATTTTAGTAATGAGGTTGTTCTGAATGATGTTCTGTAATATCTTTAGAAGTGACACTTCTTGCGTTCATAGTCCTTGGATTTCAATGAGATCGATGATGGATCTTACACTAGGCTTTTAATCAGATGGCATAGAATGATAATACTATACAGTTCGAAGATAATACATTAAAGACTCACCAGACACAATTCCCTTACAGACAATTGGAAGGTTTGTTATTGATTTTATCCATCTGATGTCCTCCCAAGTAGCCGAGTCATTATACTGCATCTGATGTACATATTTTACATATCTTGTGTCTCCTTCTGCTTTGGCTGCTCTTGAAGAAGGAATGTCTGCCTCAAAATTACTCATGCTGAGGAAAAAAATCGAACTGTCAACGGATGAAAACAAATGAATGTATACTAAACCTTTCTATATTACTTTTGAGAAGATAAATACTGGCGTTTCTGTGCCCCGTCATGACATAACTAAAATGCGAGGAACCGATGAGACCGAGATGTTGTGGATGGAATGAGTCATGTCCCCCACCCCCTCCCTCCAGCTTTCTTATTTTGTCTCCCGCTCTGCAGGTTTTTTTATATTATTTTCTCTTTTCATATTCAAATGTGGTCCCCATTAGCTACACAAATCAAGATAAACAATTTCAATTTTTACAATCCTTTTCCGGGAGGAATACAATTATTACAACATCAATTCTTAAAAATTGCCTTACATTAAGATTTCTTCCTTGATCCGATATTTGTAGAAGAATTATTTATCTAAATTACAGATGAACAATATTAAATTTCATACCGAAATGCGAAAATGGCTGCGTCCTTGTTCAGAGCTGCTCTGACTTTTGAGTCAAGACCGGAAACAGGCGAGTCAACCGTAATCACGAGAGCTTTAAAGCCCGCCCTCTCAGCCTCACGTACGATGTGCTGTGTCAGTAAACGATCTTTGAAGAGATACGTCTGCATCCAACGGAGGCCACCTGGAGCCGCTGCCGAAACATCAGCAATGGCTGTATGGGAATCGACGGAGAGGACCATGAGAGTATCTGCTGCTGCTGCACCTGAAAGACCGAAACATGTTCTTGATGAGACAAGCATTTACAATCCAATGTAGTTTTGTGACGGGTATCAAGGTCCGGTATTAATTGTCTAAACATCTATTCTTGTCTTGCTATAATTTACTTGCGCTGACGAGCATCTAAAAGAGAAAATTATATCCCTAATGTGGACAAAGGTTTTACGCTTTTGTCTAAAAAAAACAAATGATTTTTGTTCAACTTGTTTTTTTACCAGCTAGAAAACGAAATTTAGGGACCAGGCATATTGTTAATTTCCATTTTCTGGTGTCTAGGACGGACCAATGACAAAAAAAAAAATGTAATCAATATTTTTTTCCTAGGGGTGGAGAGACGAAATGACAAGGGCTAGTATTTGTCAAGTCCCATTCCTGGGGATGACGAGAAGAATGAGATCTCGTCAAATCATCTTCCTGGAGTGACGAGAAGAGACGAGATCTCGTCAAGTCATCTTCCTGGGGTGACGAGAAGAGACGAGATCTCATAAAACATTCTTGTGGTATAATCATCGTTACATGTGCTTTGCTTAATTTCGTTTACAATCAAGCGATTTTCGGAGGAGGGGTTAGCCCCTATGCTCCCCTAGAACTGCTACAGATAGGAGAATATAAATACTTATAGATAAAATCATTGAATAAACAAATATTTTCATTTCAGGTCAGTTTAGTCAATTTGTTTAATAACATTGTTTATTTTTACTCAAATCAAGTCGGAGAAAAACTGTGCACGATCACTTCTAAGTTTATAATAGTCTATAGTTTATGAGTCTGGTCGCAAGAATTGTCACAATTTCTGTCAAGACTAATTCTAGTGAGATTATGTCAAGGGGTACTTTTAAAGCTGATCTTACCTCTGGCGGTTTCTGCTTCAGCATCGGGATGGGCTGCAGCATGAACAGCCGTAGGTGCAATACCAATAGGGTACTGGATCTGCTCTCCAAGAACAGTCGTTGAGAGGCTCCGATGGGATATTCCTTGAAGAACACGGTTTCGGATTCGATACCTGCATATTTCATTTGATGATAACAATAATTATAATAGGGTCCTACGTATAAGGGGCAGCCTCATCAGTGTAATACTCTTTTTTTTCTCGGGCCCTGCAATTAATATCACCCCAGCATTTCCATGTTGCCATTTTCATCTGGGTGGAGAGTGGTAAATGTGAGTTAATGTCTTGGACGTTGGACGTTAGTACCGGGCATGGATTAGAACCCCCCCCCCCCCCCCATCAACTGGATTGACAGTCCAGTGAATAAACTACTATATACGACACCTTCACATTTGGGGTTTTGAGGTTTTAATTTTCAACACAAATGCAAGAACCATTATTAAGAGGGCTAACTTTGAATCATCGGGTTATTGCGTCTGGTCGGATCGGGTAACGAGAACATTTGAGAAAACATGCCCCTTTATTCACAAAGTGTCTGGGGTAATGTTTGTTTAATAAACCCTTCTCATCTACAAATGGTGTGGTCCATTTTACCCGACAATTTGTGAAAACCCTACGCTAGATCATGTATCCTAGATCATCTGATCTTCCGCTTTCGTTTCACGAAAGTTGCAACTCGGCAACCCGACCGGACGTGATGACCCGGTCATTCGAAGTTAGCCCCTCGATTCCAAAATTTGAATACCCTATCGTATAGCCCACATATATCGTGTTCGATTAGATTGATGTACTAATATTGCCATGTTTCGAAATTTTAGAAGGTGATATAAAACTTAAAGCTAAAGACCAGTTTTGGTCATGCGATTGCATTGTGAAAGAAACGGTGTGAAATCGATCAGAAAAGGTTGATCATCTAGCATAGATGTATACTGCAAGGTTCTGGAATCATCAAAATGATAAGAAATTTGGCCAAGTCTTCATGAAGTTAGAAGCACTGTACACAGAAAGATGTATATGGGACTACACACACGTGCGCGGCACGTGCATTTCATATCTCTCAACAGGCGAGAGATACACTAATTTACCATAATACAGGGCTCAAATTAATTTTTTGTCCACGGGGGCTCTTCCCCCCCAAAAAGAGCCCCCGTGAGCCTTCTCACGGGGGCTCTTTTAGTACTGACGGGGACTCTTTGTTATACAAATATCCATTGAATTGGTACATAATTATGATACTCCTCAATTATTTTGCTATTTCATCATTATCACTTTAATCAGCATTTTCCCTCTTACAAATTTACAAGCTACATAGCTGTTACTGACTTTCATCCCGTGATGACATTCTCTCGATTTTTTCCCGTTCTGCACATTATTTCCTCCTCATTATTCGGAGCAACCTTTACATTATTTCTTTACTGAGCCGCAAAGCGGCGAGGCGATTGTGTGTGTGTGCTATTTTGGAAAAGCGGATCCACGGTCCGATTCTACCCCCCCCCCCCCCTAGCCTCCCAAACCGGTAAAAAAATAGGATAGTAACGTAAATTTTACCTTAAAAAATTAAATAAAAAACGCCCCCCCCCCCTGACCTGCCAGTGACACAAATGCAGCATCAAAATATTTGTGCTTCTCTGACCGTAATTAAATGCCTAAAACCCCTGAACCCCCCCCCCCCCACACACCAATTTACGCTCGCTACCCTCTACCTGATCGTAAATACTTTAGCCCCCCCCCCCCCCCTCCACTTTGATAAACGTTCCACGGGGCCTGTGTATACGCATACAACACCGATCTTTATGATGTCTTTAACGTGACATAGCTTCTTCTCACCTTGCAAACGAGAAAGAAAATAAGGTCATTAAAAGGGATTAAGCGACAAATAATGATTGTGATTCAAATTGATGCGAATATTTGTTTGAATAAGCACTGCTATTCACCCGAATCTTCTTTGTAGAAACAACTTTTACAAATCTCAGTCATGCTTACTGAGTTGAGACGTTCCATTCAATGTAAAATACTCATTAAAGAATACACTTCTCCTAATCTGAAAGTGATCTTACAACACAGTGGCAGATTTGCATGGCTGAGATTTGTAAAGGTCGTTTTTACAAAGAAGATTCTGGTGAAAAGCATTGCTTATTAAAAAAAAAAATCCTTGCACAATTTGAATCACAATGATTATTTGTCGCATGATCCTTTTATTAAATAACCTTGTTTTCTTTTTTGTTAGCACGGGGAGAAGAAGCTATGTCACGTTAAGAAATCATAAAGATCAGTTGTATTATGCGTATAATACATATGATCAGGCGCGTACGCAGGATTTTTTTCAAGGGGGGGGGGGGGGTTAACATTTATAAATCGGGCCGAAAATTTCGCAACGACTCAGCCAGCCGCTGAATAAGCGGGGGGGGGGGGGGGGGGTAAGAGGACACTTTTTTTGAAATTTGAAAATTTGACATTTTGCTCCGTTGGAGGGGGGGGGGGGGGGTAAGGTCAGCTTTTTTAGGTCAACCATGGGAATTTTTTTAAATTTTTTTTTAAAAAGTTTCAAATGTACATTACACAAACCCTGAACCATTGCAAAATGATGGTGGTTCTCTCTCTCTCTCTCTCTCTCTCTTTATTTTAATCATGCATTATCAACTACATATAAAGCAGCAACCAAAAACTTAGGGTTATCTGAGATAGGTGAAAGTAAGAGTTAAAAAGAAAGTCATGCTAAAACGACGCTTTACCTCCCCCCCCCCCCCTGAAAAAATATAATAGATAAGTGGTCCTTCTGTCCAGCATCCCCCCCTCCCGCTTTAATATAAACCCGCCGGCTGAGTCGGCGCAAAAATGTTTCCAAAAAACTGGACTCCCCTAAACAAATATATGTGCATTTATCCAGCCCCCCCCCCCCGCTCATTCGCCGATCGCCGGCCGGCTGATTCGCCGCTAAATATTTTCTCAAGATTTGCCCCCCCCCCCCCACCACTTGCCGCCGGCTGGTTCGCCCCTGATTTTGGACCCCCGTAAGTGATGTTTTCCTGGCATCTACTTACATGCGAAGCATCGTCCACGAGCCGCATAGCGGCGAGGCGATTTTTGTTGTTGTTGCTATTTTGAACCCCCGGATTGTTTTCCTGGCATCTACGTTTTTCTATGCACATCAAATTTTCACTTGGCAGCCCAAGGGGGCCGTGGGGAGGAGGGGGTTATGCGTGTTACCAAAATGTCCGGTAAAGGGGTACTTTACGTGCGACAAAGTCCGGCCCGAGAATTGTAAAAAAAAGGGGTGTTTTAACTTTTCACCCGGAGATTTCTTTAAAAAGGGGGTGTTTTTTTTTTGGACTCCTGAGAAATTATTCCGAATTTAGGTAGGTACATTGAGCATTTTTCATGAATAAGGGGATCTCCAAGGCAGGAAAAGCCCGCGAAAAGCCCGCGAAAAGTCCGCGAAAAGCCCGCGAAAGAGGGGTTCGGAAATGTTGGCAGTCCTCAGATAGGGGGTGCTTTCAAAAAGAGGGAACAAGCATAATGCGTACCCTAATAACACTGAGTGGCAGGCTGGGGTTTCTGCCCTTGCGCGATCGCCTCCAGCTCCAGCAGACATGGCGCGGCAGCGTGCACACGTACCGTTACTAACGGCGCAGTAGGCCTATAACCACTGCTGACGGCGGCACTGCACTGCGAGCTGAATCGGTAATAATAGGCCTACTCATAGAACGGTAAATCTTGCACGCTAATCTAAGTTCTATTTCATTGGTTTAAGGTTTGAAAATTGAAACTCAATATTGTGTTAAAGTTATAACAGAAAAGATAATCTTTATTTTATAATTCCACGGGGGCGATTTTTAATTTTGCAATCGCCCCCGTGAGCAACCTGACGGGGAAGATTATGTAGCTCACGGGGGCGAATCGCCCACCGCCCCAGTGTATTTTGAGCGCTGACCATGTATATCAATTAGTAGGCGGTTTCCCGTCAAAATTGTTATCATCATGTAATATTCAAAACGTATTCTTTCACATGATTGGTAATAAGAGCTTCTATTTCATTTTTTGAAACTAGTGGGGCGTTTCCATATACTGGTCTTTAGCTTTAAATAGAAGCTTTTTCGTACAGCAAAAAGTGAGATGGGGTTTGGCGCAAGTATATCGATCGGAAGCATATATGCTGCGTATAATAGGTCACGCAATTAATTCAATATTTATTAAAGACTGCCAATGATTGAAGCCCCTGCATCTTAATATGATTTCGTGAATCCCATCGTGCATCCCTCGCTAACACACCTAGGGTAGGTGGAGGGGTTGAATGATCGACAAAGAATACTGAGATGATTTTTTTCCCCCGATCCCCTTTTACTCCCATTTCTAATATTTCATTCCCTTGTAGACTATATGTCAAGGAGGGGGCACCCATCTGCCCCTGGATTCGCTTTTCTGGTCACTCTTTTGTGAGAGCTTGAACTTGGTGGGACAAACCGGCAAAGTACATGGATCATACCTACCTTGAAAATGCCTCTGTGCTTTCTTTGAGGCACCACCCTCGATCTCGCCCGGAGCTGTAGTATAGCATGCAGGCGGGAGGCAATATTTTACGTGCCTGTTTTTCGTAGTCTTCGACGGTAAACAATTGATCCTCCTCATCAGCCATGCTTCACCTATCGTGAAAATGCTATCATTAATTAAAAAAACAAACAATGTCGATATATATATATGTTTTTTGCAAAGGGCAAAGTCACACCCACCTACACACACGCGCACAAATGTTCGTTGATATTTGATATGTGTGGCATGATTAATTTTGTTAGGGATGTTATTTGGATCTGCAAAGACCGAATTAATACCCAAATCCCAATTGTTTTATTCAAACGTCACATAATCAACTTTGGCGCAAGTCGATTTTTGTACTCTCGCAAACAATGTCTCCTGTTCATCAGAGCGTGAACACATACCACACAAAAAGGGTACCAAATGATTTGGGATAAAACACTCTTTCATAAGACTACAATTTTATGTTTATCGATGATTTTTTTTTAATAATTAGCAATTTTCTAGGTGTAAAGTTTTTTTTGACTCACACTGTATACACTGTCAACAAATCACAATTCCAAGTATCACCCAAAATCTACCAGCTCGATATAAGATTTAAGAGTGAATGAACGAAATTAACTACGGCTAATTGGTTTTGTTCACAAAGGACACTGAAAGTCTCGAAATTAAATAGTCGATCGAGAATATAAATAATTATATAATTTACCTTACTTATATTTGTGCTTGACCAAGACCTCCTGTGTTCAAATGACCAAACATTGAGTGACCGGTCGCTGTGAGTCTCTCGATGTTGTTGTTGTTTTTGTTGTGATTAATGGCGTTTCCATCGTCATTGGATGATTTTCGCCATTTGTTGATTTTCGAAATACAATCGAAATCTTGAAAATCATTCAGTATTACGTAACCCTTATAAGCTAAATGCCTTGAATGCTTCACTGAATTTCTCCCAGCAATACTCTACGTCCTCCTCGGACGATAAATTACAAAAGGTCTTCGACAAAATCTTCGACGACAAAATGCCTAAAGGATCTGAATGAAAAGATTTCGGGCATAGGTTTTGGGGTATTATGTCTAAGGATCAAATAGACTAGGGAGTGGTCACTTAGTCCACTTGAAATTGTTCCAGATTGCTTTATATTGGATAGCATTAAACTAGAAACACAAATAACGTCAATTAAAGTACTGCTGATTGAACGGAGTTATTCTTGTTGGTTCTCGGATAGGCTGAGTTAACTGAAAGATGGAACAAAATTCATGCACCTTATTTAAAAGGGTATTTTTAGTCAGCATATTGGAGTTAAAGTCACTGAGGACTATAACATTATTTGTAAAGAAAATACTTGGTCTAGGTTTGATACTAGGCTTTTTAAAAAGGATATTTCATGTTTCATATTCATTTCATTTCATTTATTCAACAAGTATAAAAACAATTTACAATGAAAATACAATATACAATATAATGGTTAGGACCCCTAACAAGCAGAAATCTGCTTGTAATCGGGGCCCTGCAAACAAACAATAACAAGATAATGCACATAAATTAACAATGAAAAGTAAAAGACTTGAATAATAATGGTATACGACTGGGGGGGGGGGGGGGTTAAGGGTGTTCGTGATGTTGTCAGTGATTCAGCTTTTTTTCCTTCTAAATGTTTTAAATTTATATAACCTTGTAATCAGTTATTGTTAATACATGTTTTTTTTCCTTGTAAATATAAAGTTACACAACCTTGCCATTTCCTTTTGATAATTTTTTGTACATTACCATGTTTTTTGTTGTTGTAAATGAACTTCTTGATCACGGTTGGCGGACTCTGGGACCTGCTTGTTTTGGGAGCTCTGCGCGCGTGAAACTGTATCGTATCCATGATCGTATCCTATCATCTTTCATGTTTTGAATTGCGCAGATCCTTGAAACACATTGGTCTCTTTGCCAATCCGCTGGGATTGAGAGGTTCAACTTCCACAGGGGCCCCACTCACAAGCATGGCTTTTTGGGGTCTCAATTTGGATTATGTTTGTTCGTCATTATTACTATATGCCATGTTTTTTTTTAATAAACTGAACTGAACTGAACTGAGTACGCACCCGTACATCAACATACACACACGCATCCATAAAGAAGGTTTACAGAGACAGAATAGAAAGGAGCGAAAAAATATACATGTAGGTTTGCGATATACGACACCTACAAAAATGGTAATCGATTTCTGACCTTCAATTCAAACCACATTATTTCCTAATCGTCTTTTTCAAGATCACGTCTTGTAACATATCCTATAATATTAGATAGCTTAGACAGATACCGAGATGTGATTGGTCCAGAGCTCGTCACGTGATATCAATTGCGAGGATCCAAATTGTTATATTTTCCTGGCCGGTCACTTTTCAGTGTTATATTTTACCGGCTGGTGAAATGAATATATTTTTAATCAATGCATGTCGCCCTCTTGAGGACTGTATGTCACCAATTACACACATTACACCATTATCGAGGGTCATTTTTTTTTTTCAAATTTTTTTTTCATGAATTTTTTTTTTTCCCTAGAATTTTTTTTTTCCACATTTTTTTTTTCCCCGAAAAAATCCTTTTTTGGGTAAATTTTTTTTGTTTCCCGAAAAATGCTTTTTGGGGTAAGAATTTTTTTTTTTTTTTTTTTTTTTTTTTTTTAATTTAAATTTTTTTTGTAAGGTAATCTCGACAGATTATTTTTCCGTAATTTTGATTGTCCCCGAAAAAAAAAAAAAAAAATTTCGGGCAAAAAAAAATATGGAACCCCCCCCCCCCCCCCCCACAAAAAAAACAAGGCTATCTAATATAACAGTTATTGACTGGCAGGGGGTATATAACATTCTTTGGACCTGAAGGGAGTTATATTTTCCCTCGTGACCATATTTTCCCTCAGCGCTGCGCGCTTCGGGAAAATATAATCACTTGGGAAATATAACTCCCTTCAGCGGTCCAAATAATGTTATATTACACCCCCTGCCAGTCAATAACTGTATATTATTTCTTATGTAACACCCAACTCCTCCACCTCGACTACCTCTACCTCTCCTTTCGAAGATGTAACCTGGAATGTCTAAGATGTTCGAAGGAAAGGAATCGTCAATCCAGGTCTCAGACATTGTGAATAAATCAACTGAATTGTTACTTATACAAATTTCAATTTCTTCTTTTTTATTTCGTAAACTTCTAACAACTTCGTCAACTTCTACTGAACTATCATGAGCACGTTCCCTGTAATTTTTCTTTATTTTTTTCAGTTGGCAGACATAACTTTTTTTTCTACCGGAGCGCAAATTGCATTTTCAAACTGACTCATTACCTCTTCCCTCCGATGGCTTGAATTTTATTTAAATAAATGATGACATTTTCATGACAGGTGAAGCATGGCTGATGAGGAGGATCAATTGTTTACCGTCGAAGACTACGAAAAACGGGCACGGGAAATACTGCCCTACGTCTACCTGCTTTACTACAGCTCCGGGCGAGAACGAGGATGGTGCTTCAAAGAAAGCACAGAGGCATTTTCAAGGTAGGTATAATCCATGTACTTTGCCAGTTTGTTGCCCCCTACCGCCTCCTTAACGTAAAAGGGCATGAAATTACTGATATGACCCCGTGCGTGACACTTACAGGGGCGTTGGGCTTTGGGTGGGGCGGGGATATATAATTTGACCAATATATTCCTATGCAGGGGCATCAATCATAGGAAGATTGCCTTGAATGTTGAATTAACTGCGTGCCCTTTTACACGCAGCGTAAACTTCCGATCGATATCTCATTTTTGCTGTACGAAGTAACTTCTTCTTAAAGTAAATATCTACTTTAAAAAATTGAACAAACGTTCTTTGTTTTCTATTTGTACAAGTTTATGCAACACTGTGTCGCAAAAACCTTCGAGAAATGATTTGAAGAGCAATCTCTGTACCCCATTATATAACCCATGGAAATTGTTTTTAAAATTTTAGATAAGGTAATAAGATGTAATGTTTGCTCGTTGACAAAATAAGGCTGTTATATGAACCTCCCATAGAAATGGCAACAGTGGGTACATTCAATAATACACACACGAATAATTATTGTACGAACTCGCTTGAAGCACGATGGTAAAGGCTAAAAATCACTTTAAAGGGCAAGGCCAAAAATAGCTTACTTACTATCGAAAGTAAGTTATTTTTGGAGTGGACTTGCCCTATAGTTGTGTGCATCACCTACTGAAATGTCCAAATATGGCAATATTACATCATCCGAACACGATATATATTGGATGTACGATAGGGTATTAAAATCTCTCTGAAGGGTTTACTTCGAATCATCGGGTCATCGAGTCCGGTCGGGTGGTCGAGTTTCATGACCTTTCGTGAAACGTAAGCGGAAGATCAATGATGGTGCACGTAGAGTTTTCACAAAGTGTTGGGTAATTTGGACCAGACCATTTGTAGGTGAGAAGGGTTTAATTCACAAACGTTATCCCCGACATTTCGTGAATAAAGGGCCATGTTTTCAAAAAGGTCGTGTAACGCGACCACCCGACCCTACGCGATGACCAGGGGAGTGTTTCACAAAGATCCTAAGTAGAACTTAACACTAAGTTGGACTTAAAAAGTATGGACAGCCATTGGAGCCTTAAAATGAAATATATTCAAAAGCAAAAATTTGAGTATTTTAGACTTTTCATCAATTCCACATCAAGAACATGAAATCTCCCATGATAATAGAAAATATGAATGATTTGAATCAACATTTTATGCCTTCTAAAAAAAAAAATACAAAATGTTTTCAAGGATGCTAATGGCTTCCCATAAATTTTAAGTCCAACTTAGAGATAAGTTCAACTTAGGATCTTTGTGAAACACCCCCCAGATGATTCGAAGTATAATGATGATAATATTGGATATTTATATAGCGCAAATATCTACCATGCATGGTGCTCAAGGCGCTGCAACTATTGCCCCGGCTCTGCTAGTCAGCCTTTTTCGGTGCTCACATCATACAAGGAATTCCTTCCTACCGGTACCCATTTAACACCTGAGTGGAGAGTGGAAAATGTAGATTAATATCTTGCCAAAAGACATTAGAGCCATGGCGGAACTCGAACCGCGGACCCTTCCCATAGGAAAGAAATGAGCCTGCCGCATACTACTGCCGCAGACTTGCCGCATACTCTTTCAGTATGATGAATAGTATGCGGCAGGTCTGCCGCAGACTTGCTGCAAACCTGCCGCATACTCTTTCAGTATAATGAAGAGTCTGCTGCAGACCTGCCGCAGACTCTTCATCATGAATATTCATATCTCATATAGACCTGCTGCAGACCTGCCGCATACTCTTTCATATCCAGTACGTGGCAATTAAGTATGCAGTCTTGCAGGAAGGCTATGCTGGGGAGCATGCATTGCATCATTACATTCTAGCTCCTTGAATTAGTAGAAACAGCTAAAAATAGGCGGAATTGCTTCAACAATTCTACAAATATGGGTTTAACACAATGCAGAAGTAGAAGTAGAGGAATAGGAATACAATAACTGCATACACATAGCCCAGAGTAGAGTCACAGATCCATGTGCTATTACAACAAAAAAGTGAGTTAGTGGGGCTGAAGATAAGATCACATATGGCACAACAAAAAAGTTTGAAATAGTCCGTTAATTCCTCAGTCTCCTCTTATGTAATAAATTCCTCTTATGGTACCAGTTGAACTTGAAGCAAATTGTTGGTTTGACAGAAGCTAAAAAGACAATTAACAGTGCTAATTAACACAGGAATTTACAAGATCATGGGCTCAGCCTGCAACCTCATGGCCCTGCATGTCCTCCAAAATGGTCGCCTATAGCCTTGCTTTAGACTGTATAATTTCCCACTTGTCTGTAGCAGACCTGCCGCAGACTGTTCCTGTGGCATATATGCGGCAAGTCTGGAGCAAAGTTTCGCCCTGCCGCAGATCTGCCTGCATTGCGTCATTACATTCTAGTACCTTGAATCAGTAGAAACAGCTAAAAATAGGCGGAATTGCTTCAACAATTCTACAAATATGGTTTAACACAATGCAGAAGTAGAGGTACAGGAATAGGAATACAATAACTGCATATATACACATAGTCCAGAGTAGAGTCACAGATCCATGTGCTAGTTACAACAAAAAAAGGTGAGTTAGTGGGGCTGAAGTAAGATCACATATGGCACAACAAAAAAGTATGAAACAGTCCGTTAATTCCTCAGTCTCATCTTAATATGTAATAAATTCCTCTTATGGTACCAGCTGAACTTGAAGAAAATTGTTTGGTTTGACAGAAGCTAAAAAGACAATTAACAGTGCTAATTAACACAGGAATTTACAAGATCATACGGGCTCAGCCTGCAACCTCATGGCCCTGCATGGTCCTCCAAAATAGCCGCCTATAGCCTTGCTTCAGACTGTATAATTTCCCACTTTTCTGTGGCAGACCTGCCGCAGACTGTTCCTGTGGAATACTGGTATGCGGCAAGTCTGGAGCAAACTTTCGCCTTGCCGCAGATCTGCCGCAGACTGTTCTTGTGGCATACTAGTATGCAGCAAGTCTGGAGCAAAGTTTCATCCTGCCGCAGATCTGCCGCAGACTGTTCCTGTGGCATACTAGTATGCGGCAAGTCTGGAGCAAAGTTTCATCCTACCGCAGATCTGCCGCAGACTGTTCCTGTGGCATACTGGTATGCGGCAAGTCTGCAGCAAAATTTCATCCTGCCGCAGATCTGCCGCAGATCTGCCGCAGACTGTTCCTGTGGCATACTGGTATGCGGCAAGTCTGCAGCAAAATTTCTTTCTGCCGCATACTTCGGCATACTCTTTGTGGCAGACTAAAAGTCTGCCGCAGATCTGCGGCAGGTCTGCGGCAGGTCTGCGGCAGGTCTGCAGCAGGTCTGCGGCAGGTCTGCGGCAGGTCTGCTGCATACTTTTCACTTTCCTATGGGTTTGATCCAAACTTCAATGACTTATTATCCACTAGACCACATCACCTCTACGTATGCCCTCTTAAGTTTGGATTTTGCATTTGTTTTGAAAATTAAAACCTAAAAAATTCCAAATGTGAAGGTGCCGTGGTATGGTAATTCATTCACTGGACTCTCAGTCACATTTGCCACTCTCCACCTAGGTGAAAATGGCAACATGGTGATGCTGTGGTGATATCAATTGCAGGGCCTGGGACAAAAAGGAGTATTAAACTGCATGATGAGGCTACCCCTTGTAAAAAGGACCCAATTAACATCGTTATTAATAATAATAATAATAATAATATCTAATTTTTATATAGCGCTTAATACAAATGTCTCTAAGCGCTTTACAAATATACTATTATTAAATTCAATTTTCAGATATCGAATCCGAAACCGTGTTCTTCAAGGGATATCCCATCGGAGCCTCTCAACGACAGTCCTTGGAGAGCAGATCCAGTACCCTATTGGTATAGCACCTACGGCTCTTCATGCTGCAGCCCATCCCAATGCCGAAGCAGAAACCGCCAGAGGTAAGATCAGCCGAGTTTAGAAGTACCACTTGACATAACCTCACTAGAATTAGAATTTACTGAAAGTGTGACAGTTCTTGCGAACAGACTCGTATGTATTCTATATTTCAAAACTTTGTAGTGACCGTGTACAGTGTGACTTTGACGTGAATTATGTAAAAAATAAAACTATGTAATGAAAATAAATAACCTTAACTGAAATGAAAGAAAATATTTGTGTATGTAATGATTCTATCTGTCATTCATATTCTCTCATTATAGATGTTTTAGGGGAGGAGAGGGGCTAACCAGCCACCCCAATCTTTTTTTTATTATAAATCGCATGATTATGAATGAATTAAAGCAAGGCACAAGTCATGGAAAACATGAATACAAGAACCCCTGAAATCCCCCCCCCCCCCCCAGCAGAAATAAAATCTTTTTGGACCGCGTCTGCCTCTGAGATCGCTTTCTTAGTTTTTGCTCCTTGTTGCGAAGTTTGTGCTGCTTGGCGATATTTAATAATCGCCTTCAACCTTATTTTTATCAATGGTTGGTCAGTCCTTGATCCTAGAGGATATCCATCTCTTCTCGTCACCCTAGGAAGGTGATTTGATGAGCCCTCGTCTCTTCTCGTTGACCAACGAAGGAGATGTAACGATATCGCATCTCTTCTCGTCATCTCAGAAAAGTGATTTTTAAAGAGACCTCGTCATCCCCAGGAGAGTAATTTGGCGGGATCTCGTCATCGCATGGAGGTATTTGGCGAGATCTCGTCATCTCACTAAGGCGACTTTAACAAGATCTCGTCATCCCAAGGAAGGTGAATTGGCGACATCTCGTCTCTTCTCGTCACCTATCGGAGGTGATGACAAGATCTCGGCTCTTCTCGTCATATCAGTAAGTTTATATTAACGAGACCTCGTCATCCCCAGAAGAGTGATTTTGCGAGATCTCGTCTCTTCTCGCCATCTCAGGAAGTTGAATTGAGCATATTCTCGTCATCCCAGGAAGGTGATTAGGCGATCGAGATATCGTCTCTTCTCATCATCGCAGGGACGTGATTTTAACAAGATCTCGTCACCACAGGGAGGTGATTGACGAGATGTCGTCTCTTCTCGTCATCCCAACGGAGGTGATTGACGAGATCTCGTCTTTTCTTGTCATCACAGGGAAGTGATTTTAACAAGATTTCGTCATCACAGGGAGGTGATTGACGAGATGTCGTCTCTTCTCGTCATTCCATCGGAGGTTATGATGAGATCTCGTCTGAGTCGTCTCTCCTCGTCATCTCAGTAGGTAGATATTAACGAGATCTGGTCATCCCCAGGAAGGTGATTTGGCGTGATCTCATTTCTTCTCGTCATCGCAGGGAAGTGATTTTGACAAGATCTTGTCTCTTCTCGTCATCGCAGGGAAGTGATTTTAACAAGATCTTGTCTCTTCTCGTCATCGCAGGGAAGTGATTTTAACAAGATCTTGTCTCTTCTCGTCATCGCAGGGAAGTGATTTTAACAAGTTCTCGGCATCACAGGGAGGTGATTGACGAGATCTCGTCCATTCTCGTCATCACAGGGAAATGATTTTAACGAGATATCGTCGTCACAGGAGATGGTTGATGAGATCCCGTCATCCCCAGTGAGGTGCTTGACGAGATCACGTCTCTTTTTGTCATCTCAGTAAGGTGATTTTAATGAGATCTCGTCATCCCCAGGAAGGTGATTAGGTAAGATTTCGTCTCTTCTCGTCATCCCCAGGAAGGGGATTTGATGAGAATTTGCCCTTGTTATCTGGTCTCTCCACCCCTATAAAAGGTGGCTCGATTGGATTATTCACTTTTGTATCATCCCGCCCTAGACACCAGAGCGGGAAATTAACGATATGCCCGTTCCCTATCGTCTTTTGGCTGATAGAAATCTTAGTTTTACCAAAAATTACGTCTTCTCAGACAAAAGCGTAATTCTTTTCTTCCTTCCACATGAGGGATATGATTTTGTAGTTGAAATGCTCGTAAGCGCAAGCAGACTATAACGAGATTTGTTGAGACTATTAATTCTGGACCTTCAAACCCGTCACAAAACTGCATTGGATTTTAGGAAGGTAAATGCTTGTCTCTTTTGTTGATCTTTCAGGTGCTGCAGCAGCAGAAGCTCTCATGGTCCTCTCCGTCGTCTCCAGTACAACCATTGCTGATGTTTCGGCAACTGCTCCAGGTGGCCTCCGTTGGATGCAGACATATCTCTTCAATGATCGTTTACTGACACAGCACGTCGTACGTGAAGCTGAGAGTGCGGGCTTCAAAGCTCTCGTGATCACTGTTGACTCGCCTGTTCTCGGTATTGACTCAAAAGTCCGAGCAGCTCTGAACAAGGAGACAGCCAGTTTTGCATTTCCGTATGAAATTATAATTTCATACGGAAATGCAAAACTGGCTGTTCATTTGTAATTTAGATAAATAATTTTTCTACAAATAATGGATCAAGGAAGAAATCTTAGTGTACGGTAATTTTTAAGAATTGATGTTGTAATATGTATTGTATTCCTCCCGGAAAAATATTGTAAAAATTGAAATTGTTTATCTTGAGTTGGGGTATAGCCAATGGGGAAAACATTTGAATATGAAAGGAGAAACTAATATAAAAGAACGGCAGAAAGAGTGGGAGACAAAATAAGAAAGCTGGAGGGAGGGGGTGGGGGACATGACCCATTCCATTCACACCATCTCGGTCTCATCGGTTCCTCGCATTTTATTTATGTCATGACGGGGCACGGGAACGCCAGTATTTATCTTCTCAAAAGTAATGACAAGAAGGTTTATTATTCCTTCATTTGTTTTGATCCGTTACCGGTTCGATTTTTTTTTCCCTAAGCATGAGTAATTTTGATGCATACATTCCTTCTTCAAGAGCAGCCAAGGCAGAAGGAGACACAAGATATGTACAATATTTACATCAGATGCAGTATAATGACTCGGCTACTTGGGAGGACATTAGATGGATAAAATCAATAACAAATCTTCCAATTGTCTGTAAGGGAATTGTGTCTGGTGAGTCTTTAATGTATTATTTTGAAATCGATCTCATTGAAATCCAAGGACTATGAACGCAAGCAAGGTCACTTCTAAAGATATTATAGAACATCATTCAGAACAACCTCATTACTAAAATATGCCAAATGTCAAATGTGGTATTCTTTTCTATCCTATATACTTTGGAATCTGATAGGGATAAACGAATAGCTCCTTTTAGCAGATAGGTTGGATCTATTTACAAAACCCAGTTATTGCGTTGACATTTTCAGAACGAAATATGCAGAATGTTTGAAACTCCTCATTTTCTTATGAGAAGTATATGTATTGGCAAAAAATTGATATTATTTCTTTCATCGTTGTCAATCAATTGCTATTTATATTTACATTTATATAGCTGACTCGGCAAGGGAAGCAGCGGACGCAGGGGTTGATGGGATACTGGTGTCAGCTCATGGTGGAAGACAATCAGATGGTGTTCCTGCTCCAGTAAGTTTTATTTCCTAAATAATTCATGACCACGGGTTGGGATGTTTTTATGGTATATACTGATCATAAATTTCGAATTGTCAGTATCTCAATATAATCTCAAATCAACAAAATAATTCCAATATCGTTCGAAAAACCTTGCTTATAATGTCGGCAACTCGACTTCAATGCACCTTTCTTTCTCGATTTTTTAAAAAATATTTGTTTAAATACAAATATTGTTTTTCCTCTCTCTCTTTCTCTCTCTCTCTATCTCGCTCATTCTCTATTTCCATTAAAATTTGAGTCCACACTCTCCCCTTTTAGAGTGGTCTACCTAAACTAAGCAGCTAAGCTGTCACCGTGTCCCGAAAGACGTTGGATCCACCAGGGGTGGCCCTCCCGGGGGGCAGGGGGGCACAGTGCCCCCCACTTTTTCAGATACCCCAAAAGTGCCCCTTTTTACATTGGAAAAGTGCCCCTTTTATTTTGTAAGAAGTGCCTCTTTTACATAGGAAAAGTGCCCCTTTTACTTTGACAAGTGCCCCTATTACTTAGTAAAAGTGCCCCTTCCCCCTTTTCACCTCTGACGAGTGCCCCTTTTATTTTTGACACGTGCCCCTTTCCCTTTGCAATAAGTGTCCATTTTCCATTCTCATCAATCTTGAAATTATCTTGAATAAGTGCCCTTTTTAATCTCTAGTAAGTGCCTCTTTTCAGGTACGAGAAGTGCCCCTTTTCACTTTTGATAAGTGCCCCCTTCACCTCTGATAATTGCCCTATTCAAAACTGAGAGGTGCTCCTTTTACTTTGACAACTACCCCTTTTTTCCTTTGTAAGAAGTGCCCCTTCTCCTTTTAATAACTACCCCTTTTTTAAACTCGGATGAGCACACCTTTCATTTTAACATGTGCCCCTTTTATTTTCTAATAAGTGCCCCTTTTCCTTATGATAAGTGCCCCCAATAAAAAGAGAGAGAGAGCTCCTTCCCCTTCTCATAACTACCCCTTTCCCTTTCTAATAAGTGCCCCTTTTCCTTATGATAAGTGCCCCCATTAAAAAGAAAGAGCTCCCTCCCTTCCTCATAACAGCCCCTTTTAAAAATCTGAACGGTGCCCCCTTTTCATTCAAAAAATGGATATTTTCCTTTATTATAAGTGCCCCTTTTACATTTTCATAAGTGCCCCTTTTCACCTCAGTCTGATAATTCCCCTTTTAATAATGATACGTGCCCCTTTTCCTTTCTAATAAGTGACCTATCCTCTTTTCACCTCTTATAAATGCCCCTATCAAAATCTGATGGGTACCCCTTTTCCGTCAACAAATGCCTATTTCCCATTTTCGTAAACGCCTCTTTTTCATCACTGGTGAGTGCCTCTTTTCAGGTGAAAAAATGCCTCATTTTCACCTCTTATAATTATCCTTTGTACTTTGACACGTGCTCCTTTTCTTTTCTAATAATCGTCTTATCCCTTTCGATAATTGTCCCCTTTTCATGTAATCATTAAACGTGCCCCTTATTTAAAGCGACTAAGAGCAATTTCCCCCAAAGTTCGCTCGCTGCGCTCGCTCGCATTTAAAGATGATATAATTATGTTACTTATCAAAGGTCTTTTCAGTCTTCCGTTATGAGAATCTGCTTATAACCCCATCACGATTGGCTTTTTTCCTCTTTATAAGATGTAATGTTTCGCACTGCGACCTCACAGATTTAAAAAAAAATTCTCGCTCGCTTCGCTCGCTCGTAAATGCATATTCAGACATCACACCCAAATGTAAAGTATGATGCTTAAGCGATATCTTGTATGATGTATGAAGAGAAACAAATATTGAAATCATCCCTGATAATGTAATCACAATATAGGGGTATATACCAATGTCTAAAAAATGGTATATTTTCGCTTTGAGATTTCCCACTGTAGGTGCCCTTTTTTCCAGAAAGTGCCCTTTTTTGTTGGTGCCCCTCCACTTTGGAAGTCGCTCGGCCGCCCCTGGGATCCACATACATATTCAAACCATTTTTCCTATCTTGAGCAATTCATATATGCCTTCTGGTAGGTGCTGGATTCTAGGATGTCACTTTCCCATCCCTTCCTTGGTCGTCCTTGCCTATTTTTTCCTACAACAGTCTACATGAGTAAGCGTTTAGCAAAGCATACGCTGTTCAATCCTGGAAACGTGACCGAATCACGTCAATTGGGCTCAGGGGCGGATCAAGCCGGCGACAAAGGAGGTGGGGGGGGGGGGACAAATCTTGAGAAAATATTTAGCGTCGAATCAGCCAGCCGGTGAATAAGTGCAGGGGGGGATAAGAAGCAATATTCTTCTTTTTTTTTTGCCAGGGGGTGGGGCTATTTTCATTTTTTGTTTAAACAAGGTAAAAACTAAAACGACACGATTAAAAAAAAAACCTGTTTCATGGATCCGCGCCTGGTTGTGCTTCAGTAATGCGGCCGGGCAAGGATTCACTTCAGTGGAAATTTGCAATTGGAGATTCTGGCCATGACTTCTTCATTTCTAATTTTACCCTTTCAAGTGATTTGGAGAATTTTCCGAGAGCAGTGCATCTCAAAGGCTTCTTCAGTATGAAATACACTACCCGATAGGACCTTTCTTTTTAGGGGGATGTATACAATTCCTTCGTGAAGCATGAGGTACTGCTTTTTTTAGGGGCTGAATAGTGGGGGCAAGGCCCCCTTGTTCGCCCCAGGCTACGCCTATGGGTCGACCGCTGTTCCTAATTAAGATCTATTATATGAGATTACTCACGTTTAGGCATCCTCCCAAACTATTAAAAGCTAGATGGCAAAAAGTCCTGACCCGGCCGCTTGGAACCATGGTTACGAAAGAAGATGTTCAGAAGTTTGTTGTAAAGTCTTTAGTTTGTTAATTTATTTTGCATCGCCTTTGAAAACAAATGTATTTGCAGATCGATGCATTGGCCGAGGTAGTATATGCAGTCCGTGGTCGTGGGATAGAGGTATACATGAATGGAGGAATAAGGACAGGAACAGATGTCTTCAAGGCTCTTGGGAGGGGTGCAAGAGCTGTGTTTGTAGGAAGACCTATTTTGTGGGGACTAGCTTGCCAGGTATATAAATCATATTTAGCTCCAAAGTGATTTTTATTGATTGATTGATCGATATATTTATTTCTTTGTCCGCTTGTGGGATAAAACACCCTAATCAGGGCGAAATTTGTGTTCCTTAGGAAGTCCTATATCTAGTACCGATCTCGAGTACCCATTTTACGTTTCCTTTTGAATAAAAGGGTACCCAAACTCTTTCTCGGAGCTAGGTTTGAAGTTCTGTAACAGTCAACAGGGAGGACATGTTGGATACACTATCGGATGGGACGTTGTTTTCTGATAATTTAACAACTTTCAACACAGTCTGATTTCTTGTTATGCTAAACAGACTCCCATTACACCATACAAAATGCGTTATGTGAACATGTTTATTACAATTTTCATTCCGTCCAAATTAACTTCAAACAACCCGAGATTGTACTTTTATTTTTTAGTAGATAATATTATATTTCATACTCTATTTAAAAGCAGATAACTACATGAAATATGAGAACTGATCTATTTTCATTTTATTTTTTGCAGGGTTCCAAAGGTGTTTCAAATATTTTGGAAATTCTCAGAAGCGAACTAGACAATGCCTTAGCAAACAGTGGTATGTATCAGAGTGTTAACTTTTGATACCCGCCCCCCAACCCCCACCAAAGAGCAACGGTGGAAAGGGGCGGAAAGGGTGGGTCCAAACGTTCGAAAGCTACTATAAGTTCAACATTCCCCTCCCCCGAAATGATTTTTTTTTTGTCCGGATTAACATTTTAAAGAGTCCAGTCTTTTGTCCGGATTAACATTTTAAAGAGTCCAGTCTACTAACTTGATTTTTCTTTTGGGGGTAAATGACCAGGCCCGTAGCCAGAGATTTATGTTTGTTTTTGTTTGTTTTTTGGGGGAGGGGGGGGGGGGGGGGGCACATACATGTAATTGATCGACGTCCAGGGGAGGGGTCTAAAAAAGTTCAACCGATCTTGGATTTTTTTTTTTGTTGGGGGGGGGGGGGCTACGTGCCTGTAAATGACGGGTCCACTTCCGTTTAACCGTGAATTGGCCTCTGCAACGGTGCAAAATGAATAGTCATCTTTAAACACGTACAGCTGCGACAGTTTAAACCAAATATTTACGTATAACATTGTCTACATAACGCATTTTTGCATTGTTTTTGTGTAAATTATCTTTAACTGAGAAATTAACATTATAATAGGCTTAATCCACTTTGGTTTCTATGTGTTCGATATAATTATTTAGACCTTTTAAGAAGCACATTACAAGCGCAGCAGTGTTAGGTTCATACTATTGGAACGAAATAATGAAACGAAATAAAGGGCCTACATCCACGTCGTGGTCTCTTGAAAGTGCTCAACATTCCAATCGAACATTGATTTAGATATGATAATTATTTTTCATTTTCTTCACAGGTTGTACGAGTCCTGATTGTATCCCATCTGATATGGTTGTCCATGAATCATATTATCATCGGAATCCCCCAAAGAGCAAGATGTAGTTTGGCGGAATTCAGGCAGCCGTTTTGTCACTTCGCCGCTTTTGTCGCTCCAATCGTGTCCCTTTGTCCAGTTGGCTCTAATATCAGTTTGGTTAGTAAATAGTAAGGAGCACACACCCCCAGGGCAGGGGCGGATCCAGCCGGCTGGGAGGGGGGGGGGGGTGTGCCCGCCTTCGAAGATGAAGAAAATCTTTTTTTTTTTTAAACTCAATTCGTGCGATTTGGTGTATACTTTTTGCCAGGATATCATTTAAAAACTGTGACATTTGCCAGCATTTCATAAGCCTTCGATGAGGAGAACCTCCTAGAAATAATTTGTTTACAATTTGATGAATTAACAAAAAGTTTGCATAATTTCAAATGATTACCATACCTAAATGTAAGACATGTGTAACGTAGCTCTGTATTACTTCTACTTTGTTTTGTTTTGGTTTTTCGGTTCTTTTGTTTTGTTATTGTTTGTTCATTTTGTATGATTTTTACTAATTTTACTGTTTATGGTGGCTGTCAGCATCAAACCCACTAGGGTTTTTATACAGCAATTCAAATTCCAATTTTTCACTCTCAATATTTTATTATTTTAATAACTCCAACCAAAATATAATAATTATGTTTAAGTAGCATTTCTGTTATATTTACTGTATGTTGATGCTACTGTTTTTATTAGTGAACCAAAAGTCATTTGGCGGACAGTATCTGAATTTCAAAGGAAAAATCACATTATGGAAATGCAAGCACTGTTTTAAACAAAAAGAACTTTGTCATTCCTTGCTCATTTTTCCTGAGTGAGGTGTCATATGAAAGGGCAAAAACTGAACTTGCTAGAAATGTGATTTCCTCTTTAAAATTCAGATACCGTCCGCCAAATGACTTTTTGGTTTCCTCTCTTCAAAATAGTTTTAATCACTCATTCGTGAAATATGCATCATATGAGTTGCATCAAAAGAAGAGGATCTAAGCTTTACAAATATGTGTCATTTATCAATTATAATTATCACTAAGTTATGATAAAACATCGACAATTCTCGGTTTCGATTTTTCTGGGACGCACTGCATGTCAACATGACTCTATTGCTGTACAACCATGTATGATTATCATGTTTATTTTCAGTAACCTCAATAAAAAAAGGCATATGTGTAAGTAGTAGGCATATAGATTGCCTTTTCTAATAAAAATGTAATTCATAATGCAAATTAGATGCTGTTATTTAGTGGTAAATGAAGTCCTTGTACGACTTTATAAACCACATTTCTGTTCTCATAATTTGCTTGGGCAAAATTTCAGGCTCAAAACATTTGTTGGTAAAAAGATATGAGAATAATTGTGATGCAAAATCCTTTTTTCATGAAAATTGGTGCCATTGTGTAAATAAGGAAATACATAAGATAATCTTTAACCTCGTGTCCAGAAATTTGCCTATTCTGTCATCATATATCGGTCTGTATCTCGAGAACCCTTCAACGGATTTTCACAATTTAAACTGTATATGAATGCGTAGAGCATACTCTTTAGGCTAATATAAAGAAAACGGCAGACTTTGGCACTTAAACCCATTTTTGAACCTAAACTCCGTAGAATTGCGTGTTCCTAAATGGGTGTATCATAATCTCAACTTGAAATTGAAATTAGACGTTTTCAACGCGAGAAATGTACCAGTTTAAAAGGTATTTGTTCTGCTTTAATATGCCACGTTTTATTTTTACATTCGACACTCTAGTAAAAGCTTTTTATTTATCTTCTCTTTATTACCCATGTTACACATTCATTTTTCGTTGTTTTTTAAAGACACCATAGTTTTGCGTTACGGGCTAATTTCGCCCGATTCCATGATCGCAAAGTATAGTAGCTAGCAAAGTGCTAAGTAGAGCTGCTGCACTATCAAAATTCTAATCCATTGTTTATCATTTGGTCAAAGATTGTGTGATGCAAAGGATCATAATGGCAACTGAAAACAGTGTAGCCAAAGCACTGAGTTCTGTGCGTGAACGGATTCAAGCAGCCTCCTTGCAAAAGGCGTCGGTGAGTTAGAGAACGGCTAATAGGCCTTATCGCAAATAGCCTTTGTCGCTGGCGGGCGCTCTTCGCGCAAAGGCTTCTGGGATAGAAAAGGGAGCAAACACGATCCCCGCTTTCAGGAAGCCATACAATGCCATACGTTTAGTGTAGTACTACTCAAAGTCCAAGCTATTTTTAATCAAATTTACTGCTCTTTCAGCCGCAGTTTGTAACCGATTTGATACTCATACCCAGAGCTACAGAACTAATCTTTGTTTTGTGGTACTTCACTGCAATAATGGCGGATGGAGCTCGTAGGTTTTTACAGCTTTCAGCCACTGAACTGAAGAAGTTTTTGAGGGATAGGCGCGTACCAGTCAATGATGAAAAACACGCTGAACTTGCTGAAAAAGCCTACTGGGCAGAAAAGCTTGATTTGCAGGTAAAGCCTTCTGATCAGAAAGCTGAGCAAGAGATTTTAAAGTGTCAGCAGGAAAAGTTGATACTTGATGATGGTTTAATACGACTTCCAAGACCAGAGACACTTACAGACGGTTGGGAAGATGGTCCTACCAATCTGCCTGACACATCCCGTGACCACATTGACAGTTTCATCAAAGCTGGTGAGTTGTGTTTTTTTAAACATCAAAAGGTTCAATAAAGGATAAATGGTTTTAAAAAATATGTATTTAACTGAAGTATAAATATGAAATCTATGATAAGATTCGGAATCTTGGACTAATGTGGGAGCATCACGTCTCATTTCTGAATCTGATCATCATCAATTCATGGGCATAATATTTTAAACTGTCATAATTTGTTAGGTTCTAGTCTACTCATGTTACTGTTAGTCTAGACCTATTCATATAGGAATTATTTTTATTTGTTTCTTTGCAAAGGAAACCGCAGAATTGGACTGGTAAAAACAGAAGGGAGGAGAACTCTTGCGCTGGGCAAAGGTCTTTACATGTCTGGTCATGTACAGTCAGTACAATATCATGGCATCGACCCAAAGATTTGCTACTGCTTCGTGCGAGGAAAGGTATATATCAGTGATATTATTTTAATAGACCTACATGTAGAGGTCTAGAATAGATTCATATTTAAAAATAAAATTTAAATGATGAAATTGGTAAAAGAGAAATACAGCTTAGTAAATCACAGTATGACTATGTATTAAGTTATGAACCAGTTCATATTCGGAAGAAGTAATGACTCATGCCATCATTATTATTATGTTCTTTCTTCATTCCTATTATTTCACAATTTATAGGTCGTTCCTCAGGTCAAGCTTTCTGAGTCGGCATACTCGACATGGCTAGTACTGCTGAAAGAGACGGGAAGAATCTGCACAGCTGAATGCAACTGTTGCGTAGGGTAAGCTGTTAAAAAATGCAGTTACATAAAATGTAGATATAACTTAAGAATAAATCACCACAAAAGTTGACGTTGACTAGACTCACAGATGTATGAATCTTGATCCAAATATTGAAGTTTCTTTTCTTAGCTAATTTTCATTTTCATTCTAACCCTAAACCAAACCCTAGATTTTGCCTCAAATTTACCCAATGCTTCCATCATTTATACATTTAACATTTTTTAAATAATTAATTAATTTTCGTAACAAGTTTTTGTGACTTCATGACAATAAAAGGGATGGGTAGAGAAAATATTCTTTGTAAGTAATTCTTTTCTCTTTTCATTTTTTTTCTCTCACAGTGTACAGGCCACCTGCAAGCACATTGCGGCTCTCCTGTTTGCTGTAGCAGAAGTAGTGGAGGAAGGTCGCAACGCATCCTGCACGTCACAGCCTAAAGCCTGGGGCCTTCCGCCAAAAAAGAGGATGAAAGAGGCTCTCCATCAACCTCAATTTGCTGAGAACATTAAAGTTGTGGCAATGAAAGAGGATGTTATGCATCAAGAGTTAGACAATAGTAGACCTTATCGTTCGAACTTTGACCCTAGACTCCATTGCCATCGTGCCAGGCGAAATATCAATGATTTCGACCTAGACTGGCTCGCCTCCATCACAAACGGGAACTGTGGTTTGTTAGCGTACACCAAGCGGGAGCCCAATGAACTACAATCAACGCCGAACATTTCAGAGGTCGACAGATACGAAGAGGTAGTCTCTTGTGATTTCCCTTTGACTGTGGCAGAGGCTCTTCAAGATCTTTCAGACATCCAGCTTATGGAAATAAGTACCCACCAGCAACAGGTCATCATAAGAGAAACAAAACAACAGGCGAAATCGAATCTTTGGAAGAAACACAGAGTTGGTCGCATAACTGCTAGTGTTGCTGGGGACTGTGCAGCAGCTGTGAGAAATGGTACTATCCATGGCCACTCCCAAGTTGCACGAGTGATGGGATATTATGGATCAGCATCGTCTTCAGCCCTTCAATGGGGAAAGAGCCAGGAAAAGGTAGCTGTCAAACAGTACACTGCTTACCATCGACTCAAATGCAAGAACTCCAATACAAAGTGTGAGGATACAGGCTTATGGATAAGTACCAAATTTCCATACATTGCTGCCTCTCCTGATGCTATCGTCACTTGTAGATATTGTGGCGAAGGGCTACTAGAAGTCAAAAATCCATACACACAGCGAAGATCCACAATAACTGAGTATGTGACACAGAAGGGAAGCTGCCTTGTGAGCGAAAATGGAACCAACCATCTCAATCGACGTCATCCCTACTTCGCCCAGGTACAATTGCAGCTGTGGGTGTCTGGAAAAAAGTGGTGTGACTTTGTGGTAAGGACAATTGCTAAGGTCAACAATCTACACGTGGAGAGAATCTTGCTCGATGATCAGTACATGGAGAACATCCTACCCAAGATCCACACATTCTTTCACAAAGGGATTGTGTCGGAATTTGCTAGCGGCCGAGTCAAGGACATTGTGATTAACAATTCAGTGCAAAAAACAATGAAATCAATGTTGGAGAAGCTTGATGCACCAGCTCGAACAATCAAGGAGGCCAACTTTCCATGTGGCATTTGTAATGACGAATGTGAGGAGTCACCACACGATGAGGACAAAAACAGTATTGGGTGTGACTCATGCGACAGATGGTTCCACTACTTTTGTGTTGGAATCCATGGAGAAGAGCCGTTCCTGAGGCGGAGGAAGTCATCATGGAAATGCAACACGTGTTCCTCAAAACTGAAGGCATGTAAACGGACCCGTCAAGTTTGATACCTTCTCATGTTTCATTGAATACTGTTCATGAAATTAAACACTTGTTTAGATCTGAGGTGCCATGCAAACCCATCGTGTTTATTGCCAGCTAAAACCGTACTTCCTCATTTGATGGAAATTTAGCCCGTTCTTCAAAACTAAAAATGTGTAGAGGAGTCTTTAAACTTGCGCAACAAAAGGTTGTCTATTTGAATTCTGATGTTAAATCTACATTTGAAGAATTTCCACATCTTACTAATGCCAAATATCTTTCCGAAAATGAATTGGGAGAAATTATTGATATTTAAGAAAGGTAGTCTCAGAAATCAACAGTATTCATAATTTAAATCTCCACTTTCAAGATGAATTGGAAGTTTGTTATCTTGTACATGTATGAAGCATAAACATGTCCTTATTTTTATGATCTGTAAATTTGTGTACATGATACTGATTTCTTTTCATAATGTATATGTATGAGAAAGAAAGTAAATGTTCAATTTAAGACAACTATCTTTCATGGCCTTGTATCTATTCATTTTTGTTAGGTATGGAAAGTTTTGTAATTTATGAAAGAGATAAAAAGAGAGAAATATCTTGATTCCAAAATGTATTAAAACTATCGCAATGAGTGACGATTCAGAAAATAAAATTGATTCAGATATACAACTTGTTTAGTAATGAATAGTAGAGAGAGGGAAGAGATGTATGTGTTGAGCTAAGTATAGAAGATAGGAGGAAGAAATGTACGTGTTGAGAAAAGTATAGAAGATAGGAGGAAGAGATGTACGTGTTGAGAAAAGTATAGAAGATAAGAGGAAGAGATGTACGTGTTAAGAAAAGTATAGAAGATAGGAGGAAGAGATGTACGTGTTGAGAAAAGTATAGAAGATAGGAGGAAGAGATGTACTTGTTGAGAAAAGTATAGAAGATAGGAGGAAGAGATGTACTTGTTGGGAAAAGTATAGAAGATAGGAGGAAGAGATGTACTTGTTGAGAAAAGTATAGAAGATAGGAGGAAGAGATGTACTTGTTAAGAAAAGTATAGAAGATAGGAGGAAGAGATGTACGTGTTGAGAAAAGTATAGAGGAGAGGAGGAAGAGATGTACTTGTTGGGAAAAGTATAGAGGATAGGAGGAAGAGATGTACGTGTTGAGAAAAGTATAGAAGATAGGAGGAAGAGATGTACTTGTTGAGAAAAGTATAGAAGATAGGAGGAAGAGATGTACGTGTTGAGAAAAGTATAGAAGATAGGAGGAAGAGATGTACGTGTTGAGAAAAGTATAGAAAATAGGAGGAAGAGATGTACTTGTTGGGAAAAGTATAGAAGATAGGAGGAAGAGATGTACTTGTTGAGAAAAGTATAGAAGATAGGGGGAAGAGATGTACTTGTTGGGAAAAGTATAGAAGAGATAGGAGGAAGAGATGTACGTGTTGAGAAAAGTATAGAGGAGAGGAGGAAGAGATGCATGTGCCAAGAAAACTTATGGGAATGCCACACCCCACCGACCAAACCCCCCCCCCCCCTCATCCACTTTGGTTACTACATTGCTAGCTGGGTATCTCAATTAGGACCCCCAAAAAGAAGATGTTGTATTGCCCTTTGTAACCGACCAAAGAAAATTGAAATCAATGAACGGCTTTAAAAAAAAAAAAAAAATTAATGTTTTTTTTAGAAGAAAAAAATGTATTTAAGTATTTAAAACTGAGAAATATCAGCCAAAGAGTTTTTTTTTTAAAGTAAAAAAAAAAAAAGATTTCCGACCGACCGACACATATTTTGGAATCTTAAGGGCAAATACAACATCTTTTTTTTTCAGGCCTTATATTATTCATTGATTATACAACAGTTTATCTCTATAAAACACAATCACATTCTCTTTCACATTTTTATTCTCCATCTCATACTGCTCGTAATGTAGCCTTTTTTTCTTCTATTCTTTTTTTATTTTGCCAGCTCTCCTTTCTCATTCTTCACACGTTCGCCCTCATGTAAATGACTTTTATTCTCTTATCTTTTTCAATTTCTGCAAATCACAAATCTAAATAAAAAGACACACAAGAAATTTAGGTGCACATACATATATTTCAATGTCTTCACTTTGATGCAAATATCACAAATATTGTCATGTGTTGGCTCTTAAAAGAGCCTTTGGGTTTCTGTTTTCTGACTTTACTGTCCATTTGCAGTGAACCTCACATTACGAGTTCAGAGGTACCAGCATTGGCTGCATGTTCACGATTGCAGAGCACACCACAAGTGCAGACTCCATCAGGTCTATCATCGTCAGGGGAATTGGACCTTGAAGAATGCCAAACTCCTTCATCCTCCCTATAGCACGTTCGACGTGTATACGAGCATTAGCAACCGTCTTTGTCTGGACATCCTCCGACTCGGTGAACTGGTTGGTAGCCTTCGTTGTCCTCATGAAGGGTGGAATAACAACTTTAACTTGTTTTTCCAACAAGAGGTCCTGGATGTTGAATCCGCGATCGGCCATGATGGTATCACCTTTCTCGAACTTGTCTATGATGTTTGACATTTTTACCAACTTCTTGTCTGACGTGTTACCCCCTGCTGGCTTTGACACAAATGAGATGGTCCCACCTGGTGTTATTCCAACGAGACACTTCAACGTTGGCCGTGCTTTGTACTGGCTGTACACCTGGGAATGTGAGCCTGCCAGTGTCGGTCTGTCGATCTGAATCTCTGTGCAGTCAATGATACATCGTACAGTTCCATGAAATTTGTTGAAGCAATTCGGGTAGTACTTGTGAGTGTCCTCTTGACTTGGCCAAAGGATGAAACTTTCAAGCTCCTTGCTCAGGAAAGGAATCCAGGTTGAAAGCACTAGTGAAACGGTGCTTTGGCTTACTCCAAACCGGAATGCGAGATCTTCTTCTCGGAGATTGAGACGAAGCTTCATCAAAGTCATTAGTAGTTCATCTTCGAGGGACTGCGATCGCTTTTTTCCTGGTTTCTGGTGGTTCAGCACTTGGTAGTTTTTATCATCAAGTGATGACTTTCCTTTGAAGTAGTGCAGTGTGACGGCACGAGGATGCACCTGCTCCATAAGCCATTTATATTGCTGATACGTGGGGATTCCAGTGTAGAATTTGATTAGATCATCAGATGACGAAATGTCCTCGATTCCGAACCTCTTTTTGGCACCAAGAGTTTTTTCCAGTGAGGTGACTTTTGCCGCTAGGTCATTCACAGTCTGTTTTAACACCTCGCATTTCGATGTGGCTTCGTGCAGCTGAGTCTCAATGTCGTTGACATAAGCTTGCGAGAAGACTTGCGGAGAAGTGTTGCTGTTGGCATAGTTGTGCTCCTCGCTGCTCTGCGTGATGTCAAAATCAGTGGGGTTGACCTGGACTCCGACGGACTTGGACTTCTTGTCTCGACGACTTGGCTGCGGTGGTTCGTTTTCCTTGTCATCCCTTAGCTTTGGTGGAGCTCGGCTGGGAGTCTTGGGCTGCGCCTCGTAACCTTTCAAGTGCAATGAAGGGTGCTTGTTATCGGGGTAGGGTTGTCCATGCTGAAAATGATTGCTGCAAATTCTCGTGGAAGAAGTTACTTGGAACATGTCTCGGTTGAGTAGCCTGGTCCACTGGGCGTAGTTCCGGGGATCTGTGCACTTGTGAAACCTTAGGTTGTTAACATGGTCCTTCACAACATATCTGTGGAGAGAAGAAAAAGAAGACAAAAATTATAATATAAATCAATAATCATCTGAATCATTACATAGATTTGTCTATATTATGATTTTAACTTGTCAATTGAACTAATTTTCTCATTGTTCGTTCAACTTATTTTTGCAGAAAACTTCAATTCCGCATTCCAGACAAAAATGTTAAGAGGCTGTTGTTGTTAGTAACAACGCCGTAGCTGTCCCGACACGATTCCCTTCTCCACTCCACTGTAGACTCTAGGGCCTTCCACTTTGTCATCACAAAACTCGAGTGTAAACTAAACATCAAAACTCTATCTTACCTTTCTGGATATCTTCGGTCATTGTTGCACCCATAGACAGCACATCTGTCTCCACCACCCATCGTGTAGAATAAATGTAATCAGTGAGTTTGCAAGACAAAATATCACGAGCTGAAAAGTAAGACTGAACGCTGAAAGCTGAAAAGTGAAACTGAAAGCTGAAAGCTGAAAGCTGAATGGGCGAACGTGCGATGTACGTACTGTGTGTCGGCTGCTATTGTTCGCATGGTCGCGATCACACGTTTGCGGCGCTCTTGCTCCCTTTTCAATCCCATCGTCCTTTGCGTGAGTCTATTTGCGATAAGGCCTATGTCATTAACTATAAACAGTTATAGATGTATGTAGCGGATCGATCGGTGGGGCTCCAGAGCCAGCGGAGCTCGCGGCTAGCTGAAGCCTGAGCTGACCCGAGCAGGCGTAGCATGCAGTATAGGGAGCTGGTGTAATCAATGTAGAGGGGCGAAGCGGGGGAGGAGGGGGGTGGGGTGAATTGTTGCCCACTTGCGTTTACCACAGTTGCAATATATCAATGACATGATGTAAGACTAAGAACTAAGTAACTAGTAAAATTTAATGCTGAGTGCAGTGTTTGTTAGACTAAAGTTAGTCTAGATCTAGTGTCTGAAAAATCTGACATCGCTTTTTTTAAATGAGGGAATTATTCTGGGCCGAGGGGGAGAAGAAGTGTTTAAATTCTAGCAAACATCTTATCATTAAGATCATTTAGTTTTACTAGCTTATTGCCTTATGTACCTCTTTAACTGAAGCTTCCAATTAGATGAGACTTTCTGTATTTAATTATTATTTTGTGTGTTACCCAGCTCAGTCTGTGAATACAAATGTTATTGTAGGGTCTAGTACATGTAGAATATAGGTCTAGATTTCTAGACTAGCTACATGTAGGTAACTGTTTAATCTGATTTTTTCTTTTTCTTCAAAATCTCTGACCTGAATTAAAATCATTTTCTTGGTATTCAACAGGATCATTTTCAGTTGCATGCATTAGTATCTAATTGTACTCGTTTACTTTTAGTCTGCAATGTTGATGCCTCCCAAGACGAAAATCCAATTGAAACCAATTGAACACCAATTGAAATTTCAATTGGTTTCAATTGGTTTCAATTGGTCTCAATAGGTTTTAACAGGTTTCAATGGGACCTCAGATGTTTTCAATTGGTCCAGATTGGCCCCATTGGACAAATTGGCCCCATTGGCCCCATTGGCCTAGGCCCCATTAGACTTTAATGGGTCCCCAATCGGTTTCAATTGGTCCGGATTGGCCCCATTGGACAAATTGGCCCCATTGGCCCCATTGGCCTAGGCCCCATTAGACTTAATGGGTCCCCAATTGGTTTCAATTGGTCCGGATTGGCCCCATTGGACAAATTGGACCCATTTGCCCCATTGGCCTAGGCCCCATTAGACTTTAATGGGTCCCCAATTGGTTTCAATTGGACCAATTGGCCTTAATTTGGACTTCAATTGGTCCCATTGAAACCAATTGGCCAATTGAAACCAACAAATCTAGGCATCTCATGAATATTCATTATCACTTTACACGTGTCACAGAAAAATAAATTTATCATGATTTGTTAAGCAAATTATGACAATGCACATCAATTTTGTGATTTCTTTATTCCTTCAGCAATTATTAACCAATAGATTATTTTGTCTGATCATGTTACAATTACATTTACGTTTTAGCAATAGATATATTGATTTATATATTGATTATATGATTACTAACCAAGAAACAATATACATATTTAGTATATATATTTGTATGAGCCAATGTCACTGTAAATGAAACTCTTGAATTCACTTCAAATGATCTTTGTGATGAAGTTAATGCAAATGAGATTGGAATATACCTAATTGGTGGACAGTTGCCAATATCGATTATGAAGTATCAATAATTTATCACTGGTTCTTCTAACTGGATCGATTTACCAATTGAATCCCCATTGAATTTCCCCATTGAATCCCAATTAATACCAATTGGCAATTTGGAGTAAATGGAAAGTGAAACAATGGGTACCCATTGAAACCAATTGGCAATTGGTCCCCATTGGAACCAATTGGCAATTGGTCCCCAATTTGGAGTAAATGGAAAGTGAAACAATGGGTACCTATTGAAACCAATTGGCAATTGGTCCCCATTGGAACCAATTGGCAATTGGTCCCCATTGGTTTCAATGGGTACCCATTGTTTCACTTTCCATTTACTCCAAATTGGATTCAATGGGGACATTCAATGGGGATTCAATTGGATTTTCGTCTTGAAAAATCGAAGAAGAAAGAAATCAAGTTTACCATGAATTCAAAGTCTAAGTCTGTATTTCTATATCAATACAGGATGTTTATATTTTAAATGTTTATTTTTGTAGACGATTCCCAGTGTTGAGCCAAGATTAGTAGCAGTGAGCAAAACCAAACCAGTGTCTATGATCCTGCAGGCTTATCAAACAGGACAACGTAACTTCGGTGAAAATTATGTAAGAACAAGCTGTGAGCTGCCTGTAAGAAGGCTGTGTTTTGTCAATGGGAAAAACAGCTTTCTATGACAACATAATATGTATTATTCAGAAAAGGTTTTGTTATTACAGCTAGGTTGCATTGAAAACAAATTGTGTAGTGATAGCTAGTTGACAGAGTCTGCAAATACAGACTAGCATGTATACCTAAATATAGAATACCCTGCAACCCATGACTTACATGTATGCCAGGTCAGTTATGAAACAATAAGTACTTGTATAATACATGAATACACGACTACAAAGATGTCTGACTGCACAGTCTTTCGTACTTCAATCAAGGTCTCTAATTGGTCTGCTATAAGAACATAATGTAAAGTGAATATTGATATTTCTACTGCACGTCTATAACTAGTACGAGAAAAATACATGCTGTTATTTACTGCCATGATGATTTGATCTGTATCATTTGTTAAGATTTACATGTATATATAATAAAAGTGTTCACCAATCTCATAGCAACTAGTACAACCACTGCAAAGGTGCCTGGACCAAAGTTGAATTGTTTATTTTTGCAAGCAATTAGTTTGGTGAATGGTTAAGTTTTATGGTCTCAGTAATATAGACGTGTTTGCTCAAGCTTTTGTGGCTTCCATTTTACTTCAGGAAATGTGATCATTTTATTCTGAATCTTAAAAAGGGGTGAAATGAAAATAATTTTTAGGGATATACTTTGAAATAACTTTGCACCTTCATTAATGTTCGCGGAGCAAATCTAAACTTTAGAAATTTGTTGAGGATATGAATCATATGATGGACTTGATAATCAAGGCACTTTATAAGTCTCATTTTACGCCATCAGCTTTGGAGAAATAAATGAACATACATATTTGATGGGAGTGTTGATGATAAAGGGTTTAATTTATGTGTAAGTGTTTTTGTTTTGTTTTTTTGTCAGGTACAAGAATTAGTCGACAAAGCTCATGATGACTTGATCAGAGAGCAATGTGCAGACATTAGGTGGCATTATATAGGTCATCTCCAGAGTAACAAGGTCAAGAAACTTCTCAGTGAGTAAAACCCCCTCTCACACTTTCACCCGAACAGACCTTGAAAATCTTTTTTTAAAAAAAAACTAATTGTCATACAAGCTTCTCTAATAAGGATGCCAGTTTTTAAGCAAAAGCCTGAATTCAGGCCCTGGCGTGTTATTTTCAGGCCATATTTTAGGTTTTTTGTGTGTGCTGCAAGGCCCTTTGATCAATTCTAACTGGCATCCCTGTACTCTTGAGTGTATCAATAGCTAATGAGATCTGTCTCCATCTTATAGGAAGAAAAACCATCTTTCACCAAAGTTTTGATGTGTCATCATGTGTGTGTATGTGCTTTGTGCTTATCTGGCAAATGATCTTTAGTTTCGACATTTCATTTGGGGAATGCATCTGACTTTGAAGTATCATCGTGATACCGGTATTGGTATTGGGATTCCAATAAGAATAGTGAAATGTTAATGAAGTGAGATTTTGGATGTAAATGATGGAAGTAATCATGGAAGGTAATAAATTATTCAATATTTTATTAGGTCCTTTAAGAAAATCATTTTGGCAGAACATGGTAATCTGAATATTAATAAAGAAACTGAATAAACAAACAAGATAACAAATATTTCTATCAGGAAAAGAAAAAAGAAAAAGTAAGAAAGGGAATTCAAACAATATTGGAATAGAATTCATGGAATTAGGTGAGAAAGATTGATATATTTCTTTCAGACGCTATTTTTCTCCTATTTTTTCCCCTTTTCATTTCCTAAGGCTCTCCTAATCTATACATGGTGGAGACTGTGGATTCTAAGAAGTTAGCCTCAGAGCTTGAGAAGCATTGGAGCAAAGAGACAGACAGAGGAAAACTCAGGGTTTATGTGCAACTCAACACAAGCGGAGAAGCAAGTAGGAAATTATATCACTTTTATTTCGTTCTGCCCTTCATATAAAAGAGTGGAGTGTAATCTGACTTCAGTAGTTACTAGATGCATCTATTTTTGTATTTTGAAGAAAGGAAAAAAAAATTGTTTTGTTTGATAAGTATGCATTTTTTCTTCCTTCCCTTCACAAAAAAAGAGTGGGATTAAACACTAAATCATTAGGAACTTGCTACATTCTTGTGAAAAAAGAGATATTTTTGTGTACTTGTAAAAAATGCAATTTGTTTCCCCCATTACATAAACGAGTGGGGTTTAATTCCAAAGCAACAGTGACTAGCTACATTTTAAAAAGGAAATAACATGTTATTTTCCCTTTGCCAGATAAGAGTGGTGTGCCGCCAGAGGAGAGTAGCAGTTTAGTGAGACATCTCTTTGATAACTGCCCAAGCTTAGACTTTGCAGGTCTCATGACTATTGGAGCTTTTGATCATGATCTTGAGAGTGGTCCCAATCCAGATTTTCAGGTAACACCAATTTTAGTTTTCCAAAAATCTCACGATTGTCATTTTATGTTATGTTTTAGATATAATAGAAGATTGTTTCTTATTTTCCAGCATGATGTCAAATGACAGAAAACATGTCATATATGTAACAGATGATATTAGATTGATTCAATTGTTGTCTGGTGTTAACTCATTTATGAAATGTAAATTTGCGACTGTAGCATGCATGTATATTTTACTGAACCAGGCATGGAATTTCTCCCTTGATGGATGGATTATAGTTCATTTCATGTAGGCTGGCAGATTGTATTAAATTCTCCTTTCAACCAGAAAACCAAAACCAAAACATCAAGTGTTACATGTACAGTGAATCCTGTATATAAAGACCACTCTAGGGTGACAACAAAAGTGTTTTTTTTATAGGCAAATAGTCTTTATGTAGAGGTTCTTTTAGTACAGGTCCCTATTAGAAAAGATTGTCAAGGGAAACCAAAAATGTCTTTGTATACAGGTGGTCTCTAAAGCAGGTTTCACTGTATCTGCAGGACAAAACATTTGACTTGATTGAAGATAAAGTTGAGTTCTGGTCATGCGATTGCATTGTGAAAGAAACATTGGGGAATCGACCAGAAAAGGTTGATCATCTAGCATAAGTATTGATGTGTACTGCAAGTTTCTGGAATCATCAAAATGATAAGAAATTTGGCCCAGTCTTGGTAAAATTACAAGCACTGTACACAGAAAGATGTATATGGGACTACACAAACATGTGGCATAAAAATCTGTCCCAAATTTTAAGATGTTACATGCCATATTTAAAATATTAAGGCATTTGAAGAGCCATGCTTTTCAGGGAACACGTTTTATCTGTTGTTCTTCCACACTTGCAGAATACAATGATAATGCTCACAAATTATATTTCACTTCTTCCCAGAACTCGACCTTCTCTTTAATGTTATAAATTAGCCTTGAGAATAACGTGTATATTTGTCACTGTAGCACCGTTTATTTCTTCCATCTCTTTATCACAGTGTCTTGTTAGATGTAGAGAAGATCTATGCAAGGAATGCAGTCTGGATATAGACAAGGTGGAACTGAGTATGGGCATGTCACATGACTTTGAACATGCAGTAAGTAATAATAATAATAACATTCCGCTTTTATATAGCGTCCAATACATCAATACAACAATGTGTCCAAGTGCTTTACAGTGCTTTACAGATATATTATTACCCCGGTCATCGGATTCAGGCTTACCCGCACACAATGTATACACATTCTCCACTCCCTTGGGAGCATTCCGGCCATTCGCCATTTTACAAGCGCGCACTTGCTCATCCAACTACATTAACTTTGGCATCCTGGAATAGTACTAGTCTGCTGGCACAGACTCTAATTTGACACTTTACCAAAGTTCCTAAAGCCTTGAACAGAGCCTAGCTCTGTCAGTTTCTAGCTGTGTCTGGAGTAGCTAAAGTACAGAGCCTATGCATTATGCTGTTAGCTTAGACTCACAGTGCAGACACTGATACACACAGCGACTGACAAGGTTTTGTGCCTGAAAACTAGACTACCTCCTAAACACTCTTACCCTAAAAAAATAGTTCAGTATAAAAACTGATCATAATTGTGTATTTAGTCAATTTAATGACATTGTCTCATCTTATTTACAAATTTGAATTGATTAATCCCATCATGTGATGTTTGCTCTCTATTTGTCTTGCAGATCTCTGTGGGAAGTACAAACATCAGGGTCGGGAGTACTATATTTGGAGCAAGAGGGAGTGACGCAAGAAGGAGTAATGGGGCATCAAGATCAGTACGGAGCAAGGAAGAATCTTTGTGATTTCAGTTTGAATTTATGAACTGAATTGAAATGTACTCCACAGTGAGGGAGCCCTTCGCTTGCATTAGAATTATGATATGTGAAATTAGTGAAAGGGAAGGTCGAGGTACTGCCCCATACCTATTTAAATATAGTACGTAAAGTATGATGTATAGCTTCTTTTCATTTTCCTTTTATTTGTTATTTTTCTAAACATACTCAAAGCATGTAAATGTTTGGGACAGGTTTTGGAGTTTAAATGCTATGTTCTTCATTGTTTTTATTTTGAAATCGTCAATGTGTCGCACTTATTAAAATACTGTCTTCTCATTAAACATGTAGTTGAAATATATTTCACAATCTGTTCAACAATTATATGAACCACCTAAACATTGATAATCCACTGCCATAAGACTAGTTGAGCCATGAAAGGGAGTGGGTCTTCAATTTCCATGTGCAGGAGGTCATAATTCGCTGACATCAGACTTGGTGGAAATACCGTTAATGGGTGTACAAGACTGCACACAGCAAACCCGTTGGCCAATCAAGAGATGCCCCTTGTCTCTCAGAGAGTCTTTGGGAGATGTGTATTTGTTTTTTATAAACTTAACTTTAGTTAATTATGTCATTTATAGTTTAAGGAGCCTATCCAGAACAAGCTCTGCTTTTCCATTGGCTCTGACACTATTTCTCTTAAGTTCAACTCAAGGACAATGTTCTGAATAGTGTGTACCGGTATTGTATGTAATCATTTTCAATGTGTTGTTACACTCTTTGTAAAATGAGATATTTTGGAAACCAATAAACTAAATTAAACTAAACCAAATGTCCAATAATGACTTTACCATAAGGGGAAAAGACAGAGCATTACATAAAGCTTGTTGGTCATAAAAATGAAGGCTAATCCTGATGAATGACTACACCCGTTATTGGGTAAACACCCGAAACAGTGTCAAATTCCCCATGAGAGCCCGCTTCTTAGTGTCTTGAATGATATATAATACATTTCCATTTTACTCCAATGAAATTAATTGGATTTCCAAAATTTATTGAAGCAGTCCTCTGATGGTCAAATTCGTTAGTTTGTTAGTTAGCTTGTGCCACAACTTGCAGCAACTGATGAGGAGGATATTCCTCCACCCCTTTTTATTTTGAGAGCCATTTTGACAACACATCAAATCAAAGATTGTTGTTGACCTGACAATTACATGTACTGCTTATGGCCCTATGAAAAGACCTTCATACTAGAACTAGAAAGAAATGAACGCACTAACTGCGAAGGTTCAAATACCCAGGAACATGAACAGATTCCTGGGGGCTGGACGGAACGAAGTGACAATGAGCTTAAGTCAGAGGTGTTGTAGTCGAGTGGTTTAAGCACTTGACTTGAAACGCAAAGATCATGGGTTCGATCCCCGATACGGCACTAATTTCCTTTGGCAAAGCATTAATCTACATTTGCCACTCCAAACCCAGGAGAGAAATGGGGACCAGGTAGGATGACGAAAGCCTTGTTAGTAATTGCTATATTTTGTGAAAAACGCTATGTAAATCTATATTATTATTATTATTATTTTAAAGTGAGTTTACAATGACTTCATAATGAAATCACTTTTTCATTCTATGACCATTCGATTTCATTGAAACAGTATGAATCCGAAATAAGTCATCTCATTGCCCGAATTATCCTGTTTCTAAATGATTGTGAACGAGTGAAGCGATTGAGCGTGGTAAAAGTGCAATTTTTTTTTTAATATAAAAGATATTTGGGCACCTCGTTGTTAAATATGTAGGTATTCAGGCACCACACTGCCAGAATCGTGAGATTTCTAAACGGCGCGAGATAGCGAGCGAGGAAAAGACACTTTATCATCAATTAAATGATATTTCCTCATGAAAATACATACTCTAGTGTTATCTTATAATTGTTTTTTCACAAAATCCATGTTATTCCAAAACATTGATTGTTTTGGTATATATTACAAAAATTATTATGAAAATGCTATCTTAATGAAGCAATAACAAGCTGTGCATATGTTGACCTATGAACTCAAATATGCTGGACCAATTTGTTATTTGTGTGGAGGCCCCTTTACAACTTGAACATGCCTATATCTATCAAGAAAAGATCAATTTCTGATATTTTTTCTTCATAGGGGACGTATGTTCCATGATATTGGTCATATTGATCCTGTACTTGCCCTGAACCTAGTAAATAAAAAATTATGTTTTGCTGTTTTGTTGCATGGCATGGATTGGTGTTATATTCTCACAAGATAATGCATGATTTACCAGTAGAGGGTCAGTTACTACACAAACCTTTGTCATCATTTGAAAAATGCAAGATACTATTTATTGCATGGAAATCAAATTTATTCAAATAATTTTAAAATATTGGGTTTCATTTTGCATTTCAATTTGCCAACAAAAAATTATGAATTTTTAAATTTTAGATGATGAAGTTATTAAAATTGAAAGTTTTTCAACTCTTTACAGTGATATTTGTTGCATATGTTATTTAGATTAATGCAGGATCAACATGTTTTAAATTGTGAATATTTTGTATGTGAGATTGTTGAGGCATTATCAGTATTACCTTTTTAAAGTGAGTATGAACAGAAAAAACTTCTTGCTTGCAATTTTTGATTTTTTTTTTCTCCATGTACGGTAATGTGTGGCAAATGAACATAAAAAAACAAATGCTAGATTTAGGTGAAAATATTCCTGGGTATGTCCAGTGTTCAATCATGAAAAAGATATTAAATTGTCTGTATGTATGAAATGGATTGTCTTTATTTGAGAATAAATTATTTTCCATAAGTATTTTCTGGCCATGAAGTAATCATTTTAGTAATATATACATGTTTGTAATGTCTATTCGAAGGCAGCGTGAAACCAAGAGAGAGAGAGAGAGAGAAATCAGAAGAAAGAAGAAAAAAAAACTGAATACCAAAGAAGCGTGTGTCGAATTTCAAATGACCAGCTTACTTCTGTATTCAAAGTTAATGATATTTTCCCATTGTGAAGATTTGTTTTTAATTTCTTTTGTTAATTTATAGATGATATATTTCATTTTCTTTATATGTTGTACGAGTCTTGAATGCATTCCATCTGATATGGTTTTCCATGCATCATATTATCATCGGAATCCCCCACAAAAGCAAGATGTAGTATTGCAGAAGGCAGCCATTTTGTCACTACACCGCTTTTGCCTCTCCGATTGTTTCTTTACGTACTTTGTCCAGTTTGTCCTTATACTATTTTGGTAATAATATATGGCATAGCTATGAGTTACGGGAAAGGGGCACACACCCTCTCATTTTAATGCGGAAAGAATAAAGAAGACAAGAACATGATATAGCTCGCAAGCCTTCGGCATGGCCCCACCCCACCCACCCCAATCGTTACAATTACCCCCCCCCCCCCCTCTCTCTCCTTGCTGACTGGACCCATGCTGTGCCTGCAAGGTATGTTGCTTAATTAAGCATTATCTTGTACCACGCACAGAAAGAAACAAATATTGATGTCATCCCTGGTAGTGTAATCACAATCATGACGATGTAGGTTTTTTTTACCAATGTCTAAAAATGGGTTATTTTATTTTTATTTTTCCCTTTGTAGGTGCCCCTTTTATCCTAAAGTGCCCTTTGTTGTTGGTGCCCCTCCCCTATTTTGAAAGACACTCCGCCGCCCCTGCATTATGCTACTTGGTGGTGATGATGCGGATTTTGTTCTGACCCCCCTCCCCCAAAGGTTATTGCTAATTACGCTCTGCGCCGAGTTGTAATATTTCGATTTGCTGACATTTTGGATTCACTATAATCAGGAGATATTATGTCATACTTGATTCTCTCTATTTCAAGTGGAAATGTGTGAACTGAAGGGTGTTTTTCCTTATCGTTAATATAAGGTGGACTGAGCATTTTGTAGACATTTAGCTAATGATGAATAGAATGTTATTAAACTGTAAGGTAAATGGAATGTTAATTCTCGGCCCACTTTTGTTCATTAGTAATATAAACGACATTGAGAAGTCATCTGCTTCAATTTATACTTTTTGCTGACGACTCGAATATTTTTTGTTGTCACACCGCGATCGAGAGCATTAATATTGACGCAAATATTAAATAACGAACTTAAAAGTGTTACAAATTGGATAAAAGCAACTATCACTTAACTTAGACAAATCTAGTTACATGCTATTTAGTAAAAAGGTTGCGAATTTGCCAAATTGTATAACTTTTGATGGTACTGTCATTCAAAGGGCCCGATCAACTAAATTTGTGGGGCTATAGTCATTGATCTTGAAAAGCGCACATTGATAATCTGCAAAATCATCATACTCGCAACACTGGTATCCTAAGGCTTCCTACTCCTTTATATTATACCTTGTATTCCACGTTTATTCTTCCGTAGTCCTTGAATTACGAACTTATCGCCTGGGGTAGTGCAGCAACTTCCCAAATTAATAGACTCTTTATATTACAAAAAAGAGCGATTCGTATTATTAATAAATGCAGATTTCCAGGGACACACAAATAATTTTTCTGAATAATAACATTTTTAAAATTAAAGCAAGCTCAACACTAAACAATAGCTTTTTTTTTTTTTGGGGGGGGGGGGGGGGGTAAGCGGACACTTTTTTTTTTGGTAGTCCAAAAAAAAAATCGCAACGACTCAGCCAACCGAAAAGTCACTCAGTGGGGGGGGGGGGGGGGGGGGGGGGGGGGGGGGGGGGGGGGGGGGGGGGGGGGGGGGGGGGGGGG